AAAGACACCGTTTAATTTGTGGGTCTGGCCCTCGAGAGCTAATCTTACGCGCACGAAGGGACCTCCCTCTCGGCGCCAGCCACCTGTAGTACGGTCCCCTGGGAACGATCGGCAGGACATAGAGGAGGGGGGGGGGGTCATGTTCATACGGGGATGTAGAGAAACACGCGGTGCACTCGGTGACCGTCGCGAACACCTCGAACACCGCGAACACTCCGCCCCGACGCCCCGCACGCACCGGCGAGCGGCACGCGGTCGGCACGCTGCGGCACCCACCAAGAGTAGGGTGGCACCACCACCACCAACGCCACCACCACCACGCCAGGGTGGCAGGCGCCCAAGTGTCGGCCGGCGCTGACAGATGCGGCGCACTGCGGCCCGCTCCATCATATCCCTAATAAACCAAACGCAACGCTCGGCTCGGCCCGCGAGGCTCGGCCTGGCCGCCGTGTCGCTGTCATTCATGGCGCCCCGAACCCCCACCCCTTTTCCACATTAATAACGGGGCTCCAAAAGCACCCCGTCGACCCGGCCCACGACCACAATACGTCTCGCAAGTAAAAGGGGCCGGGGGGAGGCGGGCAACACAACGACAACATTAACGCCAACGTGAACCGACAACAGAGTTTTAAAGCGCCCGTGGCGAGCACCGATATGCAAAACCGCACAGCAACTTGTAAAGGGAAAGACGTACAGCAGGGTTAAAGAAAAAAAAGAAAGAAACGATGTTATAGTTTCAGCCGAGGGGGCCACCACTTCGATTTAGGATGTACACAGGATTACGTGATTACAAGGATTACTCACGTAAATTATGAGCGATTACACATGAATTTTGTTGAATTTCTGGTTCCAAAACCATCAAATTTGGACAAAAAGGTAAAATTTAGTGATATTGGTTAAAAATTTGCTCAAGTATTACACGGAATACACAAGGATTACATAGGGATTACACCCTCATCTGTACATAGGATTACGCGAGTGATGGCCCCCTCGGTTTCAGCTCACAAGGTTTCAGTGTACCACATAGCCTAGCTTACGATTTCTCAAGAAAGGAATAAGTACATGAAGACACGAAAGAGTTTTCTCCTGTATTGAAATGAGCCGGGGGAAAAGGGGGGGGGGGTGGAACTACAGGAGGGTGTCGGGAAGACAAAACATAGCGGCCTCGTCTGGGAGATGATGGAGGGTAACGACGCGCTCAGATACGTCACCCTCGCCGATATTTTTCACATCGAGATGACAGCCGAGCCGCCTGACACTGAAAAATAGTGGACACACGCCGAAGGGGAAACCATATCGCAGCCTTGCTGACGACAAGGGTAGTTATTGTTTTTAGAATCCTAAAACACGACTGTCACTGTTGCGAAGAACGGTTGCGTTTGCCGCATAACGACGACAAGGTATTGCAATAATGACAATAATAATATTTTGAAATTCTTTTTCGGTAGTGGGGCGGCAGAGAAGGCGGCCGTCGAGGGGGGGGGGGCGCCCCGTGTGTTATGATGAGAGTTCGTGAGGGGCGGCGTTCGCGCGATATTTGTGTATCTAGGCGGCTTGTTTTGCGCCTCGTTTGTGATCCTCCCCCCGTCTCCCCATCATCCTCCCCCCCTCCACCCCGCTCAGCCTACCCCAATTAACTCCCCGCAGTGCCAGGCGCCGGGGGGACCCGAGGGCCGCGCCGGGGACCAGCTGACCTCATCAAATACAAACAGATTTAACACGTTGGGTGCATGGGTCCCATAGTAACGTAGCACATTGCCTACCCCACTGTTAAAAATTTCTTGGGACTTCCCGAAGATTCACTTTCCACCACTATTAGAAATTCACAGAGGACTCCGTTCTTAGTTTTTGTGTACTAAAACAGATCTTGAAGGTGGAAGTTTTCAGTCGTCTATATGTTTCAAAGCTAAACTCGACACGTGAAATCTACAGAGTTCCCAATCCCAAAGGACTTTGGCAATACTTTTCACGATTGTTCCTCCGTGAAATCCCAGGATTTTTTCTAACAGTGCCCCGACGTGTTATAACCACGCGGATTTGAATTTGCGCAAAACACACTTCTTACATGTGCTGGCAGTGAAATGCTTGTCTCGCCGGGCGGCTTAATTCGAGTGCGCCCCCCCCCCTCTCTCCCCTTTCACACGACACACGTCTTCCAATGGACGGTACTGTTGTTCTGTTTCTGTCTCGACGGTTGTCTCTGTGTCGCGCGCCCCACCCCGGACATTTTATTTTTACACTCACACACATACGATGCTGTCTCCCCCTCCCCCATCACCTTCCCCTCAATCTTTTGTACTCCTACACTGAAAGTCTCTACACTGCACTTAGCAGACACTCCCCCGCCCCCTCTCACCCTGTTCCTGCTCTCTCTGACGGGGTATTTCGCTGGGGAACATAGCTCTGCTTATGTTTGTCTTCTCTCATGGCAGGCAAGCGCGGGTCTCTGTCCACGACACTACTATACTGAGGAAACTGTCCAGCACACGTGACTCTGCGTCTCACGAAAGACCTTCCGTACGGAGCAACAGAGCATCCCCGTATGGATGCTCCGCAAGTAGGTCTGCAAGGTGAGCTGCGGCAGGACGCAGGTGGCGGCCGAGCCTCCCGATAAGTCACACAGTGACCATTAATTAAGGGAAATTAGATGCCGCACACAAAGGAATTCCCCACATCCGCTGCTCGCCTGGCGGCTCCACATTACGAGTGGGAGCGAGACAGAGGCGAAGAAGAGAAGGGGGAAGGGGCGACGGAGGCGGAGTTGGCGGTGAGCACGCCACGCCACGCCACGCCACGCCACGCCTGCCCCCGACCCGACCCCCGCTCCACGGTCCGGAACACATCGCGGAGCCACAACAGGCACGGGCGGGCGCGGCGGATGCCAGAGATTTTGGCGGCATTCACGTGTAGGACGTGGCCGCGGGACTCTGCGCCCGGCGGGTGCCAACGCGCACCTGCAGCTGCCCCGCTGAGCAGGTGACTCACGCAACGCAACGCCTCAGCGCCTCGGCCACGCCGGGTGCGCCAGCCGGGCCCGTCACGCTAGCAGCAGCACGAGGAGCGCCCAGACAGAACGACATCGCGGTACAGGTTTAATCCTCCTAAAACTGGATTAAGTAAACAACAAAAAGCGAGACTACAGTATTCGAAACGTACAGGGCCTCGCCATCGCCGCCGTCGCAGAGCTGTAAAGTGGTCCCATGCGGTTCAAAAGCGGATCGTGGTCCCGCACGTTTGTTTTCATTAACCGATTTCTAATGTGTCCTCAACCCGGTGAAAAACACAGCCGCTGAGGCTACAGAATGCTGTGTTCTTGCGATTTCATGAATATCCGCGCTGGAACCGCACTGGACCGCCTTTACAACCTCGTCGCGAAAGCGACCCGTGAGGCGGGCGGGCGCGGGGCGGGGAGCGCTGTGGGGAGCGCCCGCGGGCGGTGGCAGGCCGCGCAACAGCCGTGCGGAGCGGGCAGCCTAGCCGCCGATGACAGGCGCTTTCCAGCAGGAGCTGGCCGGGGGCCGGCCGGCGGCCGGGCAGTGTGCATCCTGCGCCACGAGTGCCATGGGCGTGGGCATGGGGTTTATATCATCACCTACTAATTATGTCGCTCGCTCGGTCGCTTTTCCGACAAGCTGCTATCGCTCCAGAGAATCCTTTCAGATGCACAATTCACATTTTCTGTATCCGTCAAAAAAGTATGTAATAATTAAAGTAGCATGGGATGTTCTGAAAAGAGGGGTTTAAAATGTAGTATTTAGTGTCCCTTCTAAGATTCTGTGGGACATTTACTTTGAAATAAAAATGTAGGGGAAAACATCAAATTTATTAGTGTTGAATAAACAGCACGTGTAACACAACCATACAACACACTTTTTGCAGCACATATCACACCGACAGTGATCTTTCGAAGGATTGCATTATTATTTTTATAAGCAAAGTTGAACCTTTCTTGTTAAATTAAAGTTTAGAATTTGCAGCAACATATAAACCTTGAAAAACTAAACTAAAATCGAAATCGCCGACGAATTTAAACCTACGCGCCATTTTGTACACCTGCCGCTTTCTGCTGTGTTTTGACTCTTCCTTGTATGAGAAATTTGTCAGAACACATAGTTTACTCGGAAAATTGATAAACCCATGGAGTCAAGCCACTAACGTAGGGAGACGCAAGGTCTGGTGCACCACCTAGTTCTTCAACGATTTGAGAACATTTCTCTTAGAGTAAGAGTCGGATCAAGGTATCCAATAGATTCGGTATATAATGCTGATGATCACCAGCACATTTTTTTCCTCGGTACCTTAACAAAAATTGGATCTTTTGCGAAATTTTGACGTTGCTACGAGCTATTGGGGGATAGTGTGAGAGAGACAGACATATCTGTCATGGCGGATCCCCCACCCTTCGACCAGCGTCTCCGCTACGTCGTCTGCGCTGAGTGAACTAGCGACTGACTAAAAACTATAACAAATGTATTTTCTAAGGTGAAAATCGTTCCTACAGTATAATGCTGATCATCCTTGCACTTGAGAGATGCTATTCAGTACCCTTACACCCCGGTAAAATTATTTTTTATATGTTTAAAGTGTTAAAGAAGTGTGCAGCTTTTACGATCGCCCGTTCGTTAGTGCTAATTTTTACAAAGATATTACTTTTTTGCCATCGTCATACCGTCCCAATAATTAAACTAGATGAAGAAATTAATAATTGTTTTAACTAAACTGTGGCCCTTTCTTTAAAAACATTTCATAGCATTTAAAAGTAATCAAATGTTGACGAAACCGACGTAACCTCTACACCCGATCACAACACCCAAATCACAACAAGCACACATGCCAACCTACGGCAAAACTTCACATTTTTTTGAAGCATTCATCAGGACTTTTTTTGTACAGATCGTACATAACAGTGTAGAAATGACAATCAAAGTTTTAAAATAATATTAAAAAGCCTTCGTACTCCAATATTCTGTCAATATTTAGAGCAGAATGATTTGCCACAGTTGCCAGCACCTAATAGAAAAGAAAGGAGGAGGAAGGTAAAGACTCCGGACCGTTCCGCCACCTACCACGAAGGCGGTGGACGGATCCCCCAAGGGCTGGTGGCACCCGGCCGAACCTTGCGTCTCCCTAGGTTAGTGGCTTGACTCCATGATAAACCGGACCGGGGTAACGAACGACAGCTGCCTATCTTGGTGAGAAAAACTTAGTTTTGGCTTTTTACTGTTTCCTGAAACTTGATTGTGTCCCTAATTTCTGACTGAAAGTACAATCTTCTTTTCTGCTTTTCATTTCAAGTTGCTGGATGATGTATGTAGAGGACCGCACAAACCAATAGTTTGCTTCCGCTGCCGCTCATTATTTATTTCTCGCCTGATAAGCCATTTCAGTTCTTTTCTTTCTTTGGTGAGTAACTTACCTTTTCTCGACTAAGCGTCGTTTCTACTAGAAAACTACCACGTGGAAAGTTAACGATAACCATGCATGTTTAAGTTCTTCTGGTAATCAATGGTCCAGGTTAACCTCCGGGTACTCGTGGATTTTAGCTTTGTTCTACCTATTTTGCGAGTGAAGTATTCTTGTACCGCTCTTATCGTAGCCTCTGTTCCTTTCCACGACGAACACGGTTCCTAATGTGCATGACTATATGTAACTGTTCGCTGACAAGTCCCAGATATTCAGAGGGTGGACAGCTTCTCATATATTCATGTCCTTTGTATGCTGTGTTTTCCAGGGATTGACCAACAAAGACAATGGAGGATGTAGAGAAAGAATCGATGTCCCTGCTTCTGGATAATGCAATGGAAGAGAGCGACCTTCCATCTGACGAGGCAGCTAACACTGCTGAATCTTCACATGCTGGCGTTGACTCAGTTGGTGATACTACACCAGCTGAACAAGGTGATGAAGGGACTGAGCCTTTGATGGAAAATGAGCAGGAAGGTGCACTGCTAGAAGGTCAAGATAGTTCTCTCCCTGAAGAAATTATGGCAAATGAAGATGCCTTTATTGTCGAATCTTTGGACGGTCCTACAGAACCACACCAAGAAATGGAAATGATGGATGTAGCATTTGAAGATCAAAAAGATGATAATGTATTGACAGAAGATGCGGCAGCCACAACTTTAGAACAAGCTAATGAACCCATGGAAATACCAGATGGAACTGTTTCAACATCAGAAGGTTTTTCAGAGGACCAATTTATGTCTGGAACCGATGCTCTTATTGTTCAAAATGAACCACCACAGCAGCTTATGGAAGAAGCAGACACTCCAGGGGAGGCTCCTAGTGGTGATATAACCACTGACATTGGTGAATTGGAGGGTCACCCTACTTCTGATAAAGATGAAGAGTTTTTCACTTATGTTGAGAAGACAAATTCAACCTTACAAGTTCAGGGAGATGATAAATCACTTACTCAAGAAGAACAGAATTTAAAAGATGATGCATTAGAGTCTTTAGTTGCTCTTCAGGATTCCAAATTTATTGAACAAGAACATGCAACGGAACAAGTAGAAAATGAAGCCAATGCTGAAGATCATTTAGAGCTTCCCATTGAACATTCTGATGAATTACAAGCTAATCGCCAATCTGAAAACTTATCTGACGTTTTGCCTGCTGGAGGCCTTGCAGAAAATGCTGTTGACAGTACTGACACGATGGACTTGCCAAATGAAGAGGCAGAGCCCATTGAATCTGAACTACCTGATGAAGGTGGAGTGCCAACTGAAAGTGAAACAGTTGCTGGAGGTGAAATGCCTATTGAAGGTGAGCTGCCTACCGAAGGTGAAATGCCTGCTGAAGGTGAAATGCCTGCTGAAGGTGAAATGCCTGCTGAAGGTGAAATGCCTGTTGAAGGTCAGCTGCCTGCTGAAGGTGAAATGCCTGTGTCAGATGAAATGTCTGCTGAAAGTAATATGCCTGTTCAAGCAGGAGCACCGATTGATGGATTGCCACCTGCAGATAGCAATGAGTCTGCAGAGGGCACGGATGGCTTCACACTTTTGGCAGGTGGTGATAATATGGAGGAATCGCTGGGTGGTCTGGAAGGCAAACTGGTCGTTGGGGCTGACGGTACAGTCCATCTTCTGAGCCAGGAGAGCTTGCAGGGTATTCAGCTTATGGAAGGTGACGAAACATCAGAAGAACAAGCTAATGAAGAGCAAACTGCTGCACAATTGCAGCAGGTTATTCAAGCTCAACTACAAGAAGCTTTAATGAAACAAGAAGAAATAAAGAGGGAAGAGGAAGAAAATAGACCAGAACCAGACCCTTCTCCTGGAGATCAAGCTAGTGCTGAGTCTGATGCCTTGGCCACACTCGCTTCAGCAGCCCTTGACCATCAGGCCCCCTCTAATGGAGTTAAAAATGAGGTAACATTCTTTTAAATGTACCCTTATTGTTCTTGTTAAAATTTAATATTTGACTAACATATTGTTCTATATTTCCTTTATAGCCAGATGCTCCTGAGATAAAGTCAGAGCCTGATAGTAATGAACCCCAGTGGATGGATGTTGGGATTTGTAAAGGAACAAATTGTGTTGTTCGAAGCTTTTACATTCCTAGTGAAGGGCAAACTTGGGACAAGAACTGGGAAAATATAAATACAAGTACCTTACCTGACCATAGAGCTCTCGCAAAGCTTGAACTGGAGGCAGGTAAAGCATACAAGTTCCGTGTAGCTGCTATCAATTCCTGTGGACGTGGGCCTTGGAGTGAGGTATGTACTCGACTTGTTTTTCAAAATATTGTTTGAGGGTGCGATGAGGTACATTTGATTATGTATTCCATTCTTCTAGTATTATTAAATCGGGCTCTTATTTATTTAGATTACCGCATTTAGAACCTCAATGCCTGGAGTGCCTGGTGCACCATCAGCTATCAAGATCTCAAAAACTGTTGAAGGAGCTCATCTTTCTTGGGACCCACCGGCAGCTACATCAGGAACTATTGAGGATTACACTGTATACATGGCTGTGCGTAGTGCAACCACAGATTCTCAGGCAAGATTACATTTTACTCATGCTGTCATGAAGTAAATTTGTTACCTTCTAAAAAATTAATTTACTAAATTACATTGCTTTTAGGTTGTTTCAAGTGGTGCTACACAGTTAGCATTTGTAAGAATATACCAAGGTGCCGAAAACCAGTGCTCTGTAGGCTTTGAAACCTTGACTGAGGCGCACATTGATACAACTACAAAACCTGCAATTCTTTTCCGAATTGCAGCCCGAAATGAAAAAGGTTTAGGACCAGCCATCCAAGTTAGGTGGCTACAAGGTAGGTTCCTCAAATCATTCTATATTTTTAAAATGTTATTACTATGAAAGACTCTATCAATTCATTGTTCCTAATATGTATTTTTTTTTCTATATGTTTTTGTAGATGGGGCAGCTCCCAATAGTGCTAAACCAGTCAATGCACCTCTTCGAAGGGTAGGAGGTGAAATCAAGCCTCATACTAGCATTAAGAGAAAAAAGAGTGAGTGTGAGTGATTTTTCAGTCATTGACATGCCAAAGTTTTTTGGATTGTGCTACTATTTTTGTAGATTAATATGTGCACATGACATCATTTTCACTTTCATTATGTTTATTTTAGTATTGATTATTAGCACGTTACCCCATAGCTCATAGGAATGCATATCCTATTGTGGTCAATGTTGTTCCAGATTCTCTGTATAATTCTGTATAATTGTATTGTTTCAGTAAGTGACCAAAAATACTATCTGTTTTTTGTTAGGTGTTTAATGACATTTATTGTACAGTTGGGTATTTCTTTTTTCATTTATATAATTCCATTACTTCGAAATATAGTTAAATTTTAATGATACGAAATTGTATTTCTAAGTAAAGGGCAACAGTTTTTTTTTTAAATGTTATTATTAATTAGCATTATTTTAATTTGGGAAAATTAGGGAGGGGGGTGGGACAAATCGCACATCAAAAGGAAAGAAGTGTGCAAAGGCAACTGCAAATTTTCTCTACCAGGTGCCTAAGAAAAATCTCTTGATTTTGACATTATTTTCACCAGCGTAGCCGTAGCATTCCGGTAGCGTCACGAGGCGTGACAGCGCTTGACAGAGAGGGGCCGACTATCCGCCGTGACAGGACCTCTCCCTCCAATATCGCCTTGCCCCACGTGGGTCTGGCTTGCGGCGCGAAAACCAGGCTAAGCCCCCCGACCGAACGGACCTCGGAAACATTATCCGATCCCATTGCAGTGTCTCCGCGTATCGCCGGATTCTCGACTCTGGTGAGAGAGACGGAGGTGGGGACTTGGCCACGACAGACACGAGCATGCGAACGCAGCGCGGGGCGCTCGTGAGTGAGTGATAACCCGGGGCCTCCCTCACTCCGAGCTCTTAGTCCTCGAGTCCGTTACCCGACACCGTCGTAGCGGTATGGCGATTTCAGTAATCTGGATCAGAAGGGACCACCACTGGTTCGTTCGCGATCGTTCTTAGGAAGTTTTCGTTGTTTTATGACTCCGGGGGAAGTAATATCCGCATTGTAGTGCGAAAATGTTTTTATCAGGCTATGTTAAAAATGCAAAATGGGCAAAATAGAAGACGTTACGATATGTTTCGACAGTTCCGATCTGGGATCTGGGCAGCAAGCAAGGGCGGCAACGTCGACGAGATACATACTTCATGCCAAAAGCACAAAAATGTAACTAGATTAACATCATAATTTCACACATGTTTATTTGAAGGACTACGACTCCATGATTGAGTTGTCATCGAACCCGATCCACTTAATCGCTGCCGGTCGGCAAGTCTCACGCTCGCGCATCGCGAACAACGTGACTGGTTGTTGGTGGGTCCCGTTCTCCTCCCCTGCCCCACCCCCCTGGCGGCTCGACGCGTGCGTGACATATCCCCGGCGCCTGGACCCAGTCCCGGACCGTGGTGTCTGGAGGTGTCCGCGCCCAGGCCAGTCGAATGCTGAGCGAAGTGGAGTAAGGTCGCAGGCCTCCTCGCACCCGCCGCGCGCCGTGTGGCCTTTGAGTTCCGTATCCGCATTCGGCCACAGTTCAGCCCCCAGCGAAGATGGTGCAGATAGTGTGGCTGGTCGCGTGCGTCGTGATCCTCGCGGGGAAGGCCAGCGCGGCCGCGGAGATGGCCACCGGCACGGCCTCGACGACTGGGATGCCGCCGCCCCTCAACGCCACCCGCACGCGGCAGGCCAAGGACCCCGCCGCCGAGTCCACGGGGCGTTCGAGTGGGGAGCCGGCCAAGCCCAAGCTCATGGTGGTGTTCGCCAGCAGGGCGATTGACGAGAGCAGGACGGAGCCACCCCGGACCATGTTGTTGTTCGACGACATGCAGGTGGACCGCAAGTCGGACGTGCCCGAAGAGCCGAGCTCGGAGCTGCTGCCTCCGCACGAGGACGACATCAGGGGTGACGACCGGCAGGCTGGGAGCTATGGAGCTGGATACAACTACCCGAAACCCCAGCAAGACGACCCGAAACTATCCGCAGGATACCACTACCCCAAACCACAACAGGACGATTCGAAACCTTCGGCAGGATACAAGTACCCAAAACCTCAACAAGACGCCCCAAAACCCGCATCAGGATATCATTACCCGAAACCTCAACAGGACGACCTGAAACCCTCGACTGGATACGACTACCCTAAACCACAGCAAGATGACTCGAAACCATCCACAGGATACCAGTACCCGAAACCGCAACAGGGCGGCGTGAAACCCTCATCAGGATACCATTACCCTAAACCTCAACAAGACGACCTAAAACCCTCGACTGGATACGACTATCCCAAACCACAGCAAGACGAACTGAAGCCCTCCGCAGGGTACCACTACTCTAAACCTCTACAGGACGACTCGAAATGGGCAGGTTATGACTACCCTCTCCCCCAACAGGATTCCCAGAGACCAGCTCAGGAGGATAACTCGCCTCCTCAATTGCCCTCGTCGGGATATTTGCACCCGATGGTCCAGGCCACTAGTACATGGCGGCCGCTCACCCAGATCCCCGACCAGGACTACCTGCCGCCCAAGGGGCAGCTCCCCCTGGAGGAGCCTGCGCGCCCTACCTACGGGGCGCCTGCGCCTGTTTGGAGTGGCGGCACACCAACAACAAATTTTGACGAAGTTACGCCAAGCACAATGACTTCTTTTCGGCCAGAATATCTTGAGGTAAACCCCACCCAGCCGCCAACCATGCAGGACGAGCTGCCTTTCAGCCATGCGCAGATAACGTGGCCCCCTACCGATGGTTACCTGCCACCGAAACCTCAATTTGACGGTAACGAGCCAGTGAAAAAACCGCTGCTCGACGAATCTCCATACTTCAGCTACCTTCCAGCTCAAGAACCTGTGCGCGCCTACCTACCTTCAAAACAACCCCTTCGTGACGATTTGACAGCGAGCAACTACCTACCTCCAAAACAGACCATCCGCGATGACGCCCCAACAAACAACTACCTACCCCCAAAACAGCCCCTCCGTGACGACGCTCCTATAAACAGCTACATACCTCCTAAACAGCCTCTCCGTGATGACGCCCCAACAAGTAACTACCTACCCCCAAAACAGCCCATCCGAGACGACGCACCAACCAACACCTACATCCCACCTAAACAGCCTCTACGCGATGACACCCCAACAAATAACTACCTACCCCCAAAACAGCCCCTCCGTGACGACGCTCCTATAAACAGCTACATACCTCCTAAACAGCCTCTTCGCGATGAAGCCCCAACAAGTGACTACCTACCCCCAAAACAGCCCCTCCGTGACAATGTCCCAACAAATGCCTACTTGCCCCCTGAACAGCCCCTTCGCGACCATTATCCATTGGACATCTACGACCCACCACGGGACACTGGACAATCATTTGACAAAGAAGAGGATCTCTTCAAGTCCATTCAGGCTCAGCCTCGCCACCTCAGCGCCGCGCTAAGAGCGGGATCAGTCGATGAACATGGCATTCGCGTCACTGGTGAGTTCCTCCCTGCCTGTCCAGCCTGTGAGGTAGGCCAAACGAAGACACGGGTGTCAGACGGTTGCCTACCCTCCGTCCGTCGGGCGCTCTGCAGCCTCGTGCCCTCTCACAACGTGCGGAGCTGCATCAGTACAGTTATATTGTTGATTAGTACTGTACTACGTCCACTGCGTCCCAATCATGTTTTAGATGACCCCCCCCCCCCTTCCGTATTCCACGGTCAACAAGGGTGGTCGTCATTTTCAAACACAAAACAATGCGGCTGGTCAGGGTATTCTGGCGCCTCTAAAGCACAGTCCTGCCTCTCTCTCAGATATGAGCTGTCTCCGCACGGCCCACCGTGCCCGCTTCACCGCGACCATCACATCCCCGCGGTTTGTGGCCTGGCCGCCCGTGCTGGAGGCGGTCCCGGGGGGCGGCGCCGCGCCAACGGACTGCAGGATCATCGCGGACCCTGCTGACCCCCACCACCGCTTCCTCGTGGACCTTAGCAACCCGGACCTGACTCGGTGCGGGGTGAAGGGGTGCTCGGGTGAGGGCGAGGTGGGTTTGCTGTGCACAGAATCGAAACTTGACATTCTCGGCCGCCTTCAGTAATGGACCTTCGCCTATCGCCCGCAGCCACGCCTGTGCAGCAGGGTGCTGATGCCCAGCCTGCCCGGTCTGCGCCTCGCCTCCGACCCGGTGCTCCTGCTGCAGTGCTCGCTCCAGCCCGCCTCCGTCTCCCTCCTGCAGCAGGCCAGGATCGTGGCGGCCCAGCCCGCGTCCGGCCGCTCCGCCGGGGTGGTGCACGCGGGCGGGGAGCGCGCGCCCCTCCACGCGCACCTGCAGCTGCACCGCCGCGGTGCCTCCGGGGAGTTCTCTCGGCCGATGCAGCCGGGCGGAGCAGTGCACCTCGGCGACGAGCTGCAACTGCGAGCCACCGTCAGACGCGGCGACGGTAAGTCTCCATGGTAAGGATGGGGGGGGGGGGGGGGCAACTGCATAGGGCTCTTTAGTTCCTTTACAAACTTCAACTTCAATGAAGTCTAGGCAAGACCCTCCCTCAAACACCTCCTTCCCCCAGGCTGGCAGTCCTCCCGTTTGTCTGACGTGGTGGTCCGCCGCGGATCGGACGCCGTGCACCTCGTGGGCGCGGACGGCTGCTCCAACCAGGAGATGCGCGCCGTGTGCCCGCGCGACCAGGGCTGGCTGGTGGGGGAGCCGCTCGTGTCGCTGCTCACCATGAGGGTCTTCATGTTCAGGGGCATGCAGGACGGCGACCAGCTCGTCCTCACGGCCAGGGTGGTGGCGTGCCTCGACCGAGCTGACTGCAAGCTGAGCGCGGTGAGTATGTCGAGTGTCACGGACCAGATCAGAGAGGGCAGAGCTTGTTAGCTCCCTCGGGATGGTTTGGCCCCGCTCACTCTCAAATTTGTGTGGTTGTGCGTGCATGCAAGCGCGGGTTGCCTATGCTCGAGCCATATTGGGTTGGCTGGCTGATTTGCGGCTGCTAACAATCTGTTTTCATTTCATACCGTTATTCAGGAGACTTGTGAGGCCAGGACGCGGCATGCTCGAGCGAGGCGGAGCAGTGGTGGTCTAAACGCGACCGCCGTCTCGTTTGAGGAAAGCGTGTCATTCGTTGTTCGCCGTGGGTCACCGGGTCATTCAAGCGATGTCACTGAGGAGAGGGAGTCTACCGCGCCTGCGCCACAAAAGCAAAATCTGTTCACCACTGCATCAATGATATTGGCGACGATTCTTCCCTCAACAGCCATCCTCCTGTACTGGTGCAAACGAAGTATAAGATAAAACGGTTCATAAAATCGCCTTTCTTGATTTGACACTTCACCCACTTTTTATGTAAACCGAGCACTTGGTTCACAATTATTAGGAGCAGGTAAGAAACAAAAACAAAACTTATCACCATATTTTTTACAATTTAATACTTCAAAAGTTTATCCTTAATCAAGAAACCCCCACACATTATTTTCCACAGTTTTTTGTTTTATTATGTTTTTAAACATCACTAAAATACTTAACACATGTAAAAAGCTAACCGTAACTGCAGCCTTATACTGCCTGTAGGAACTTGTATGAAGTGTACCTAGATAAAATCACAAATGAACAAAAACGAAATCAATGAACTGAAAGCATTTCGACTGCACTTATACAATGGGCTTGAGTAGCTATTTAAGGATCAGTGAGTATGGTCCCAAATAGATGCAAAAATAAAGTACTTTGGTTCAGAGACTTGCATTACCAGGAAACATTCCTCTGCTTGATTAAATGTATAGCTTTTCAAAAGAACAGCTCCTCAACCCATTTCTTATTGCTTGTATTATCGCAAAAATTGAAAACACAGCCGCTATCACACATATTGCCATTGGCTTATAAAAGAAAAAAAACGAAAAAAAAAACACCACAAAAATTAGAATAACTTTCATGTCTATCTACCCCCTCCCCCACCCCCTACACACAGACACAAACACAGACACACACGCACACACAACAAAAAGAAATAATGCTGCAAAAATATACTTATTGGATGAAAAAGATTATTGAAATATGAGATCAGTAGATACTGTGAAAATGGGCAACAAATTTTAAAACCCCAAAAATTGATGCCATTTTGGCCAAACAAGTGAATATATTATGTGACTGACATTCCCCCAAGATGCAACAAATAAAAGAAAACAAAAAACATATAACAAACAATAAAATAAAAAGGGGAGGGGATATCACATAGTTGTCGACAGCTAACACTGCAAGGCCATTTGCTATAACAGATATGGCTGAATCGGTCACACCAAACTAAAAATTAGTTTCAATAAATACATAAGAGCATAGTGTTAGATACTTATTCACTAACATACAAAAACAGTAGTTTGACTGAGCTGATAGAATAGCTGAAATTTCAACCATATATGCATACAAGATGGAGGATTATATGTTACGATTACTCTATTAATTTAGTGACTTCGAGCTAACAATAAGTACAAATACTGATAATAGTAAAAAAACCAAACGCTAGCTTATACTGACCCTGTCTGTTTTTAGGATAGATAATCAGTTCTTTTATTCTTTGTAGGACACATGTTGCCTTCAGATAGCTTTGAGAATTATTATCTTCATCCGAGTCTTCATAATATTTTTACTTATTGAGGAATGTTGTTATAACAAAACACAAAGACACCAGTTGAAAAAAAAACCAGTAATGTCTATTTACAAGTGTTGTAATGTATTAGTTTCCATTTCTTTTTTAAAAAATTCTCTCAATACATACTGTTTAAAATCAGCTTATTAGACCCATAAAAGTGAATGTTTTTAGTATACTGGACTTATAGTTCGTCTGACTTTAAAATTATCAGTCTATAGTTTCAAGAGAAAAAGAAACAAACTATCACACATTTTCTAAAACATAAAGGAAAAAGTGCATTCTCCTACATACTGAAATAAATTGACAGAAGAAACTCAGAAGATAGGTTAAATAAAGACAGTCAGTAATTCTATACTTTGTTATCTTAAAGCCAAACCATATCTTTGAGTAACTTCTGGCGTATGTGTTGATGCCACAGCTAAAAGAAGAGGGACATCATTTGGTTCCAGAGAAAGAGAGGACGTAAGATTATCAATATCACAGAATTGTGTAGAGAGTAGCAGTTCTGAAAGAGCTTGACTGCGTAGTAGTATTTCCTGAAGTCTGCTTTCCAAAAATGACAAGCACTGTAATAGAAAAAGCAAAAACGTGAAAAAAAAATAGGCTAAAGATAACATTTTAAGTAATATAATTGTATGATTCACTTACGAAATCAGGAGCAGTACGCAGTTTCCACATATGATAGACAGATTCAAGCATGTTCGCTACTAGTTGTGATAATCCTACACGAATGCCTAAAGTTCCAGGTCTATCAACAACATAAGTGTGGCTGGAGATGAGCTGCACTTCACTGTGACATTTTTTTAAAGGAAAAACAAAACAGTAAGGAAAATGGAAATAACAATGAAGCATAATGAAAATTTCATTTTACTTACCAGGAATCAACATTGGCAACAATAGCAACAGCCTCAGAAAGACCAGAGTCCAAAGTTGGATGCTGAGCATCAAGTGCTAAATCCCGTTTCAATGTGATCTCCCATCCTGATGCAAGAGCACTACAACCCTGCAAAATCCTCTCTGGTATGTAGTGTGAAGACACTCCTCCGAACAAAGAATTAGCTATTCCCCACTCAGAAACACCATCAGAAACTTGATCACACTTGGGAAGAGGAAGCTCAAAAATATTGGATGATATTAACTCTGGCTTTTTAAAATTATGTGATGACAGATTCATAGTTTGTTTACTGTCATGAAGGAAAGAATTACTCTCCAAAGCAGATGGTTCTTCTTTATCAACACTGCAATTTTGACATGTTATGATGCTTTTCAGTGTCTTCCTACTCTGGCTTTGGACACAGAAAGAACTATGAGCTCTTCTCAGCTTTTTCATGCTTTTTTTATTTAGTATCTGTTTACTTTCTTTGAAAGGATAAAAATTTTCTTTACTCTCAGCATCTATAATAGATTTTCCACAGACCACACACATATCTAGTGCACAGGATTCGTGTTTTATAGACTTGAGACATACAGGAAGATTAACACTTAATGATCTAGCAAGAGATCGCAAATTTGCTGAGTTCACAGAGACACCTTCGGTTTTGAGATCACTTTTAATAAACGCAGGCTGAAGAGTACTTAAATTTCCAGCATTCTTTTCATTTTTCGAAGTTAATTTTGTAACCACAGTAGGACTAAATGCCAACATAGTGGTTTCCATTGCAGCACCATTTGAATTTAATAAGTTCCCACAGGCAGTGCGTACTGGTGAAAGTTCAAATGATTCGCACTCTGAAAATCCACTTTCTACTTCACTACCAGAGAAGCTTAGTGGTTGTTCCTGTTGCTTGATTTTTCCTTGAATTGTACTTTTAAAATCAGTATCTTCAACACTTCTTTTCCTTTCTTTCAATCCAACTAAGTCTTCATTTTCTCCAAGTACAAATATTACTTTATCTAAGGGAGAAGGAGGGTCAGGGGAAGAATTCTGATTTGGACAACTTGTTCCAAATGAGCTTGCAGGGGCAGCAATTCTGTCTGGCACAATTTCAATGGAAGAAGTATCTCTTTTATTTCTATTACTTACTGAAAAGTGACTTGGCTTGTCTTTATAGTTCAAAGTTTCAGCAAAAGCACAGGAAGTCATTTTAGAAGAGTAGCTCATAGTTCTTCTTAGCCCCATACTAGATGGCTGTTTAAATAAGGATTCAGACTTAATTGGCTTTGCTTCAAGACAAGTTTCACTTTTGGAAGAGATACTGTCCATAACATTGCAACATTTCCCTTTATGGAGATAACTGTTTGAGACTTCACTTGCATTTACTGGTGTAGAAATTTGACCAACATTAAGAAGAGGAGAGCATTTTCCACTCATTGGTCTAAGAGTAGAAGAAGATGAAGTGCGGTCATCAACTGAGAGAGTAATCATTTGCTCAGTTTTAGTGGTTGATGAATACTGACTTAGGCTGGATTTAAAATCAGATTCTTCCAGCTTGGGTTCAAGACGTTCAATGGCTGCACACCGTATAAAGTAAGAAATTGTGCGCAGCAACCTTTCAATAGTTTCAATGCGACTTTTGTTTGACGTTACAGACATGATAATAGTTCGAACAGTTTTAAGAGGATGACCAAGGCCCCCATACAAGTCCATGGCTTGGGCCCATAATGGGTTGTATGGATGCATTTTTGAAAGGTCAGACAACTGCAAAATAAATACAACAAATAAGAACTCACAGATAAGGGCAACAGTTATAATATACAATGTAACTGATTGTTGTCTCAATATTATCTTACATTGCAATGTGATGGGGTGCCATCTAAACTGGATTGCCTCACACAAAGTTGCAATCCAGGGGTGACAGTTGGAACCCAACCCAAATGGTGAGTTAAGACTGCTGTCACAAGGGTACTCATAAAACTGAAAAATAAAAGTGTTTCTTTAGTAAACAAATTTCCCCCAAATTTATTAGATTTTATTTACAACTTACAAGTGGGAATCCTTTGTTTCAAACATGTCAAGCATTTGGCTCAGTTCTTGCATAAAACTAGTGGCAAGAGATGCATATTGGCTGTTAGCAGAGAGCAAACCTAACCACATGGGCATTGCTAATCGGGGACCAATTAATAGGTCCTCAATGTTTTGCTCAATATCACTACTAGCATCATACATCATTGAAACAAACAGCTCCTTTCGAGAATAAGCTCGTTCCACAGCAGCATTAAGACGAACCATCATACTTTCCAATAAGGCTGCATGTTCCAGAAAAAATGTTTGCATTTGCCTGAAAATTATCACACAATCAAAATTAACACAAAATTATGTTATCAACAATAATTTACCATAAAAAAAAAATTTGGTTTGTTTTTAAATAATATTTTCATACTGTTGTTGATGATGTGAAAGACTAATTATTACAGCAATTCCCAGTTTAGCTTTTCTGAGAGGTTTGTCATCACAATTGGTAGGTAGGGAACCACATGAAGTAATTGAATCTGTTTGAGTCAAACTTTGATTTGAGTCAAGGTCAAGGGAGGTGCTTGCCGTGCGAAGCCATCTTCTTCTTAAGCTGGACAAACTCCCACCAGAGCCTAGGCATAATTATGAGATTAGGAACTTCACATGACAAAACTACATTTCAACACAACATCATGTCACAACAAAAATTATATTTTACCTTTCCGAGAATCTGGACTAGAAAGGGCAGCATTATATGAGCCGTTGGGTAGAATTCCTGTAACACTAGTATCACTATTTGTGTAGCAACCACTGTCAGCCTCCAAACTCCCAAGATGACTTGATCTATCATTTCTTGCAAAGACTGTTCCAATTTTTAGGCTACTTGGAAGGGGAACATCCAGAGGACATGAACCAGCCAATGAAGCTAAACCAAGAAGAAAATAAAATAAAAATTAGATTAAAATGTTTAAATTTCAGAAATAAATAGGGGAATAATATCCAAGTCATACATATTTTGGAGTCAGAGCTACTACTTCCTCCACCAAGATATTCATTCATTGAATTGATAGAACTGCCATATGAATCTTCTAGACCTCGATCGCTGAAATATTTGTGGAAAGAAAATATTAAAAAATAGGTTATTTTCACATTGTTCTTTCATGCATGTACAATGCAAAGATGCAAACCTCTCTCTCTTTGAAGGGGAGTTGGCAACTTTAGTGAGCATTAATACTGGAGGAGTACCACCCGTATGAACCTTAAATGAAGATCCACGGAGGACCATGGCAACAGAGCCAAAAATCATTTCACCTAGTGATTTCACATCTGAGGATGGGCGGGTGTACTGCAAAACAGATGATCAATTAGCTGTTTTCACATGAAACTGATACAATAAAGATGATTAAACAGAAATAATATTTCTGAACCTGGTAGCCAAATCCATTGGAGATTTCGACAAAAGCATCTGCTTTTCTCAAGTCTTCGGCCTTTACACCTTTTCTCAGCCTGCTGCATTGTAACAAACTAGGTAAAGGTATTTTTTTCACGGCCTTAGAATCAAATAGCAGTTTTCTTCCCCTGTGCTCACATTCTCGAAAAAGTAATACCCTTACTTGATCCTTGTTAAAGTCAAATACTTTACTGCTGGAAGAAACAAAAATCAATCAGTTAAATTAGGATGTTTGTGGGGACTTTAATATGCAAATGACATTTCTATGAGGTTGACAGTACTGTCATCAACAGAGTATAGGAGTTAACCACTGACTTTAAGTTTGGTACAAAATTCGACTCATTACTGACAGCACGATATAGAGGTAATTCATTTTTTAAAACAGTTTTATCAGGATATAATATTGTTTACTCACTTGGATGGCGAAGAAACAGGAACACCATAACCTTTATCAGGTTGTTGTTTCCTTTTAGATGAAAATAGACGGTTCAGCAGTGCCATACTTTACTAGGACAACAACCGTTTTATTAACATTTTTAACACAAAATTCGTTGGCTGACGTATTGATGTACAATTAAATTAAAATTAACAATATCACGTGCAACCAGCGGCTCGTCAGCAGCCCCAGTCATATGATTTCATGTCACCAGCCTTATCTGGCAAAATGCCAAAGCCCTTCAACGGTGCTAGGCCTACAATACAGTACAAAGAGAAATGCAGGAGCAGACCAATATCTTTTAACGAATTGAACTGATTGTTGAAAATTCCAGCCAGATCGAATGAAACTTGACGTACGTTATCTTCTCATTTGTATACAAACACGGTTGTACGGGCTCAAGGCAGGAACGATGCAGCCAACATCCGCAAAATCCTCAAAATAAGCCGGATTTCGGTAGGCCAAATTTTTGTTTTATGATGATTACTACTATGTTATCACAGAAATTTATTTAATTTTAATAGTTCTTGAAATATTGCATCAGCTCCATGTCGATGAATGGACAACTGACATTAAACAGGACTTTTTAAGGGAGCGCAAAGAAACAGCTAGATTAGTTCCTAACCCTTCATTTTCTTGTAAGTCCCAAAGAAATGTCAGACGCTTCGGATGATGAAGATTTTGCCTTCTATGGCACTCCATTGGATCCAATCGAGGAAGGTATAGCACCCAGAATTCAGTTTGAAATTTAATTTTGAAATTATATCTTTGTACTTATTAGTCATATTTATACTTTTTGGATTCAGATGCTATACCGAGCAAAAAGCCAACACCAATTGAAGATCAGGTAGTCAAGGACAAATATGGACGTAGAAGATTCCATGGGGCCTTTACAGGGGGATTCTCTGCAGGATACTGCAACAGTGTTGGATCTGAAGAGGGTTGGACACCCTCATCATTTAAGTCGTCGCGTGCTGAGAAAGCCTCGCAACAGTTTCAAAAACCTGAAGATTTTATGGATGAAGAAGTGAGTTTTTCTAGATCTTCATATCCACATTTCTTCTTATGTTTGTCTAAAAGGTTTGATTTCATATTTTTAATATCCAGGATCAAGGTGAATTTGGAATAGCACCCAAAGTATTGCGTGCTACATCCGACTACAACCAGAGCTCATCCCGCAAAAGAGCACACTCTAATTACTCTACTGGACCAATTCCTGGACAACCAGTCTTAAGAGACATTTTACTTCCTGTTAAGTAAGTCATTCTAGAACCTTGAATCCAAGCATTTTGCTAAAATCAAGCAATTACAATAAATATATTTTCAGAGATACAGTTGGTGTGCGCTTGTTGAGGAACATGGGTTGGCGTCCTGGTCAAGGAGTTGGGCCACGTTTAAACAGAAGGCAAAAGAAAATCCAACAGAAAGAGATTAAGCAAGCATCTAAAAAAGTATACGGATGTCAGTTACCTGGGAGCTCCACCCATAGTGGAGGAAGTGGAGGAGACTCGTCTGATGAATCCGATAGTGAAATGCAATCAATGACCTTTGCTCCTGATGATTATGATGCATTTGTTGTCAAAATCAAAGATGACGTGTTTGGAATCGGTTACCAAGGTCTTGATAAAAGACCTGTTCTCTCTGGGCATGTGCAGCTGTTTGAACCCTCTTTCCTTGGCATGCAAGAAAAAAAGAAGAAAGTTGCCATCTGGGGACAGGTATTATTATATTGTTAATTGTTGAGTTTTATGTATTTTATTTTATTCATTATTGTATTAAGGGAATTAATTATATTTCTCTGTACTAGGCCTTTGGTGTTGGCGCATTAGAAGAAGATGATGCAGATATTTACGCCAGGGATGACATGGCACAGTATGACTTTGCCCTTGATACCAGTTCTGAGATTGCTCAGAGGAAAAAAGATGCGCGAGCTACCGAACATCAAAAACGCCTTGCACTAGGGGCTCCCAGGTTGGCAGGGGCACATATTGAAGGGTTTGTCTTAGGCAAAAAACAGCCAAGTTCCCAAAGAAAATTTTTTAGACCACCGGATTTGCCACCTGGATTTAAGGCTGTACATGAGACAAAACAATCAAGATGGGACGTAAACAGCAAAGGGGAAAATGTAGCAAAGAAACAGGGTCTGGGAAGGCATGATCTTGATTCAAGAGTCAGGTACTGTCAATGTTTATCTTCTCTTTCATTCTGCAAGTTAAGAACACAAAATTACCTCTTAAAACTCCCTTTCTTGTCTTTCTCAGAGCCAGTATTTTGGATGAACCATTACCCAAGCCCCCTGTTCCACCTCCAACACCGTCTTCAGTGAGTACTGCACCTTCACCTGTGCGCCAAGTTGCTTTTCCATCGTTCTCAGCAGCATCTGCCGACATTTTGCCTTTAGCTGTCGGTGGAAGCACATTTCAACCCTTTGCCTCTCAACCTGATAAACAAGCACGCTATGAGAAATTTCTGGAGTTTTCTCGGTCTGCTCAAAAAGGTATTGTGGAAATGTGAGGGAGGGAGTAAAATTGTAGTTATTTCTTGTATCTAGTTTAGTGATTAGATTTTCCACAATAATGTTGTGCATGTTCTCATTTCAGATTTGCTCAGCTCTATTCAGCCTCCATCAATGACAGAGTGGGACAAAGATCATGAGAGAAGTGAATTTGAGCAAGCTGCAAGACTTTATAAGCCATTGAGTGGTATTATGGGTGATAGGTGGGACAATACAACCTCCAGTTCTTTTCCTTATATTTTTTGAAAGAAACTTAGATGAAGTTTTATTCTGTTTAGATTCGTTTCTGCAACTCAGCCAGATGATTCCTTAAACCCTCTTGCCTCTGTTGAAAAAATGAAACATGGAAATGAAGAAATGAGGAATGCTGCCAAAATGAAACTATTTGGGAAATTAACAAGGATAAAAAGCTGTTGGCAACCGTGTGCATTATTATGCAAAAGATTCAACGTCCCTCAGCCAACTGGGTATGGACAAGACTATATTCAAATATTGCAGCAAAAGAGTAGGACCGAAGGTCCTAGGTCCTTAGATCCTAGGTCTTTAGATCCTATCATGATTGCAGTACAACACTGTTGGAAATAAACAACTTATTTATGTCTTTTTTTCTTATATTACAGCATCCCTGATGTACTAGAGTCAAACAAACGCCCCACAAATTATTCTGTGTTTGACTTTCTTGAAGCTAGCTCTCACAACACCATTTCAGCACCCCCTGAACATGTGATACAAGAAAAGATACAAGCAAGTAATTCTTCTACAGAAGGTGAAATCAAAGAAAAGATTCAAGCAAGTAATTCTGCTACGGAACTTAGAACCAAAGAAATTACTCCGGTAAGGGTAGAAGTTATTCAGGACCCTCCAGCACAGTTTCCTGGGGAGAAACAAGTGACAGAGGGAACAATCGTCAAAAAGCTTCCTAGCATTTCAGATACTCTAGCAAGATTACTGGCTGATGAAACTGTAAGAATTCAGTTAGTTTATTTTTACTGATGTATTTTGTTGTTTGTGTAGTTCTAATTTTGTATCTGTCAATGCAGGGCCAGATTCAGCCAGAACCAGAGGAAAAGCCTGATTTATTTAAGGCAATCTTCCTATCCAGTAGTGAAGACTCTGCCTCAGATTCAGAGGATGAAAACTCTACATCTAAAGTAGAGGGTGCTACTGGGAAAGTAGTAACTGAAGAGATGATTGCTCCACGCAATCTTTCCCCACCAAGAGGAATATTTGCAAATTTAGATTTAGATGCTTTGAACACACGATCTGTCAAAAAGTCAGAATCACCAAAAGGGAAAGGTGAGGACTCCCATAAAAATGAGGACCAACAAGATGAAGAGCTGTTGTATGGTCCACGATTACCATCAGCACCACCAAAATTGAACATTCCAAGCTCCTCAAACATAGTCCCTCAGCAAAATGAGAATGCCTCTGCATCTGCTGTTTGGGTAGAGCGCACTGTGAAAATTGAAAAAGCAAGTGGTCATTATACCAGTGATTCTGATGACTCTTCAGCATCATCAAGTACTGAAAAAAGAAAAAGTTCTAAGAAGAAAAAACACAAAAAAGAGAAAAAAATAAAAAAGGAGAAAAAACACAAAAAGCACAAGTCAAAATCAAAGCATAAGAAAAAATCATAATTGTAATTCAATTTTTTTTTGAAATTTTAAGTTGTTCTCTTGAAGCTTTTTAAGAAGAAATTGAGACATCATTGTTTGTCAGTTATCAGTATCAGTGTTACCATGTTGAAATAGATATGTAGGTATGAGGTTGACATTTAATTGCAGGCGTAGAAGATTGGAGAAGGAAATGACAATACATTCCTCGGCTGTACCTCTTTATTAATAAAACCTCAAGGAAATTTTCAAAATGAAGAACACATGAATACTACAAGCTTTGGACAACGAAACTTAAATCAATTACCCTTTTTGAAATTACCAGCGAACAAGGTACTGTAGATATAAAATAAACCAATTAAATGCAAGACTGACTGAGAAAAAACATCATGAAATTAATGTAAGCTTACAAGATCTGTTAACAGCAGAATATAATTGCATTTAATTATTTTTAGATAATTTTTTCTGTTATTCTAAACGTTAGACAGTTGCACTTTTTCGCCAGGTTTAAATGCTGGCATACCCAAGTAGGGACAGCTTGCACATCTGAATGCATCACCAAGATAACACTGCAATTTAAAAAATAATATTAATCACTAGAGTGTTATGAGCACCCTCTTAATCTTTTCTCAGAATCACAATACTTACACTACCACAAGAAGAGGTCTTGGTCGATGTCTCTTCTTTCTTTCCGCCTTCAGCAGCCAGCTCATCAGCCAAGCCACAGCTGCAATTCTTACATGCTTTCCTAACACCAGTTGTCCCACAAACTAAAAAGTAAAACACCAAGTAAGTAATTGAAAAAAAAGGGAGATGTCCGGTGGTTAGTAAAAAGAAAATGGTTTTGAAAAGTTGTTCTGTACCTTTTAAAGATGCAGCATCTGGTTTCTTAAGGTCTTCCTCATTCAAAAGCTGATCCGAATCAATCAAGTCATCATCTACATCATCCAATTTCCAAACAGCTGCCACATTATCAGCAGCCTTGGGCAGCGAGAGAGCAGCAGACGATCCCACCTAGAAGGAGACAAAATTGTAGGCCACCGAACTACCTGTTATTGATGTGCCAGACTATCATTTCTCACAATGGATTTTACACTTGCCTCAAAATTTGGTTTCTGACACTTAATTTGAGTTACTTTAACTTCCCCCTCTGTATTTGGCACCTCACTTTGTTCGCTTAGAGAAGTAAAACCACTTATTTTGAGGCTAGATGATAGTTTATCTGGGGTAGTTGTTGCCTCTCTTACAACTAGCAGGCCATTAGGTTTCAAGATGCGTAGCACTTCAGACAAAGTGTCATCTGTATGTACCAATCCAGTAGGTTGGGCGAAGCCCGATAAAACAATATCAAAGTGGGACTGAGGGTGAGAACCTGGAATAAGAAATACAATTAGGGTAAATGTAAGATATAGTACATTTGGCGGGCAGAAAGTAATTTCATTGGGCTCTCAACAGATTTCAAGAATGTGTACATCTAAGCAAGCAAGAACACAAAAGGTATCAAATGTGCATAGCATCGTAGTTTACCTTGCTCAAGTCTCTCAACATTTTCGACTGCCACCAGACCAGAATCACCAGCTATCTTCTTGGCATCATCAAAGACAGTCTGTAACCTCTCCCCAGGAGCAGACGAGCCCCACAAAATAAGAACTTTGTGTCCGGCACTGATAAATTCCATTTTCAAAATCCCAAGATATGCAGAAAACAGGTAACTTTTCTCTTCGTCAAGGTAGGCGACTGAAATCAATGTTGCACAATGAGTCAATGAGTCTTCTATCTTCACAGAACTTCACAACATTGCATGACACCGGACAGGACAAAAACAACAAAAAGTGAGTTGGGTCGATCTCTGCCCGACAGCAGAAAGCTAAGCAGAGAACGAGAAAAAAAAAGAACGTCAGGAATCTGTCAAATTCAGTATTCGTTTGCGAGAAGGCGGTGAGATTTTGACAAGTGCAGACACCAATGTGGTGTAGTTGAAGAGTAACCACTGTCGCTGTCCGCTCGGAGGCGTGTGGTGTGTGTGGTGGACACAGAGTTTGGGACTTTTGCTGAGTGGAACGCACAGTTTGCGCGGCACCATGGAGGACGTGAACGGGTGCGGCGGCAATGGGTTCGTGCTGCAGGAGACGTTCTACATCCTGTCGAAAAAGAATACAGTGTATCGCGTCAAGCTGTCCGAGAAGGGCCTCAGCTTGGCCAAGGAGACCAACGGCAACACCAAGTCCGAGACCATTAGTCTGGACGACATCATTGGCTGCCGCTGTATGAGGAGCAAGTGCAAACCTGGACCGTCCTGTGTGTGTCGTCCCAGTGGCAGGAGGGCTGTTGAAGAGCCAGAGAAGGAGGAGAAGCTCAACACTCAGGACCCGAAAGACATCAGTGCTTATCTTTACATCTATGCGTATGTTCTTAAGAAATACAAAGTGACATCTGGAGTCAAGAGAGAAAGAATGACAATCACACTGCGCTTCCGTTCCTTTGACAAATTTGAGGAGAATATGCGTGAAGCTCAGAAGTGGAGGCTAGCGATCAAGTGCCTTATGAAGGGTACCCCGATTCCTCAATCTGTTCTAAACTCGGATGAAAACTCAATTACCTCATCACCAGGTGAGTTCATATCTTTCTATTCATCTGTCACCATTATAAATGAGATTTGTGATATTTTCACTTTAAGATTAAAAAAGGATTGTAATTCATTTTTATACCTCAGCTCACCTTTTTTGCGTATTCTTATACTGTTAATGATCCTCCATAAAAGTTTTATATGAAAAAGTATCCAAACGTAGTCAGAACCAAGGGGGAGGGAGGGATTGGCGGATGAGTAGATGTAGTAGAGTGATGGTAGAGGATGCTATGGCCAATGGCTATAGCCCGCCACACTAAATGACATCACCTTACAGGTAATTTGCTCACTTGGCAGGCTGCCTGACAATGGCAGTACCTACTTGCACCTGGCATGCCTTAGAGGGAATCACCTTTTGCTTGAGGCCTGGAGCTACTGGCATTACCCCTCCCCCCTTTTCCCCAATCATTCGCCTCGCATTTCGAGAGGGTCACTAGCCTCCAGCACAGATGTCGACTTTCAAACTAAGATCGTTCCCGTGCCTCCCCCTCCTGCGCCTAAGCTGAGAGTAACTTTAGGCCCACCGGGAAGGGTCATCAAGTCTCCGAGTAGCAGGTGCAAGGTGCAGATGGTCAAGTGGTTGACTTCTGTTGGTGGCCCCGCACGGACCGTGTACTATGCCCCCCACCCCCACCCCCCCGTGGTCCTAGTTCAGTCATCTGTCATGGCATGTCGTGGTCAGCGAGCTGTTATCGCAAAGGACCGCCCACTCCCTCTGTCCACAGGTGTTCGTGGGTACCTCCGCTGTTTTAGCATCAAGGTCGATAAGATAAAGGAGTGCCCCCCCCCCCATCCTCTTTTCCCACCCAGTTGGACGCTTTTACTCGGAGTGGAGCGTTACGCTTCAAAGCACGCGAGCGCGAAAGACATCGCGAAAATGCCAAACGATGACAAAGAGAAACACGCATTTGCGTAACCTACAGAGGGATATTCTGTGGCAAGGCGACCAACTCCCTCTTCAACCCTTCCCTCCTAACATGCAGCATGCGACCGCCCCCTCCCCCGCCCCCCGAGTCCTGGGCGCCTCCATGTGGGTCAGGTTCCTCTACGACGGCTGTCCGGGTCGCATCGACCCGAGCTCGACCCGCGCCGCACGCCGCGCCACCGCACCTGGGCTGGGCGTACTACCCGAGCCCGGGGCCGGGGCGGGCGCGGGCGGTTAGTGGTGATGTCTTTTCGGTAAAGATGCGGCGTCGCGTCGCAGGCGCCACTCTGGAGATGCAAGACTAGGTGCACTGTAAGGATGCACTCAACCCGATTGGCCCCCGCTGGCCAGCAGCCAAACTGTACTTCTTTCTTTTTCTTTTCTTTTTTTTTTTTTGACCTCCCCTGCCGCCGAGTCCCTCTGCGCGGGCCTGGCTTTCCTTATCTGTCTCGCGACTCGTGTGTTTCGTGTTGCCGCAGAGATCGATGGTGTCGTCCTTGTCATATCCGCTGCGGCCGCAACCGCGTCAAGTGTTCCACCGACAAACATGACGGATGCCGCGCCGCGGCGGCGCTCACTGGGGGGCATGGGCATCGGGACGCGTCGTTCAGGGGTTGACAGGCTGTCCCGCGTCGTTGGTGCTCCTCCACGCCCCGCCCGCCTGGTGTGACCGCGGAGCGGGATGAACCCAAACAAAGGCCCCCGACGCGCGCGCTTGGAGGAGTCCCCCCCTGTGGTCCCCTGTGCGGGTGCGGGAGCGCCAATATAATGCTAATCACGCCAAGGTCACAGGATGGACCGGAGTCGGGTTGCAGCTCCGCGCGCTCCGGTCGCTTTTGAGTCACGTTATTCGTGTGTATGGGGGAATTCCTGCCCCCCCCCCCTTCCATATATGATCTGTCGACGTGTGGGCTGTGCGGTTTTGCCCCCCACCACCACACACTCTTTTTCATGGCTCGTGATCAAGTTAAACAAAGGCAGCGCAATGGGACGCTATTCGACACGTCATTGTCTCTGACGTGTTTTCTTTTTCTCTCGTTCATGTTTCTCTACCGCAGCACTCGCTGCACGCGCTGCACGCGCGACGCGGGCGAAGTGTTGTCCCGCGCGCGCTGCACGGCGATCGGCTCGGCGGCTCGAGTGGGTCGCACCACCTGCCTGTGCCTGCCGCAGCAGGGAAGTACCTACCTGCTTTGGCAGCAGGCTTGGGCGGGAAGAGTGCTCTGAAGCGGCGGTAATGCACTGCCGAAGTTGCATAAGCGTGACTAATTCGTGCTTGTTACGACGGGCACGCCGCCGCTCGGCCCGGTCGGGGAGAGCCGGCCAAACAAAGTTGTAATCACGGCACTTCGCCATTAACGAGCGTCGCGCCGCGCCCGGTTCGGGTTTTCCTTCCTGCTGCCCGCGGACAGGTGATGGTTTGACTGCGGTTTGGCTTATGGCTGCCGCAGTTTGGTGGCGGGGGCAGGACGCGACGGCGCGTGCGGAGACACTACGACCGGAGCGGGTGAATATGTATACACCGTGTACATGATTGATCTGATTTGATGACGTTTCGGGTTTCGCCGAACGCGATTGCCTCGCCGTGCTTTTGCTCTCTTTTTTATGACCCGTATCCGCTCTCAATCCATTCGCGTTTCCTCGGCGGCTATCAGCTCTGTAGCTCTCGCGATACCAAACACCAAACCTACACGGCCGCAGCAGCGCTCCCGATCCTGCGTCCCGTCCCGCTCTTTCTTCTCCTCTCTCCCCATGCGCGCTCCGTACTCCCCATCGTGACTGGCTCCAGTCAGTCCAGCCGAGCCGAGTTGGCGCCGCGCGGCGTGACGCAGCGGCTGGCCTTGGGGGAGGCTGCGTCGCCGCCGCGGAGCCCGGCCGAGCCCGGCGGAGCCCACTGCATATTGGGTCAGGTCAGCGTCGTCGTCGCGGTGCGGTGACGCGGACATAGTGGTGGCGGCGCCCCATGGGGGCGGCGGCAGGGTTGTGTTGCAATACCCCATGTGGGCAGCGCACGTGCAGTCCAGAAGCGCGAAGCGCGCCAAAGAAAGCGCAGTGTGGTCGAACAAGCGACCAGGGTCGAAAGCGCGCACCCCTGCAGGGAGAACGTGCTATTGGATGTTCCGTGCACCACCATCAACCTTGGACTTCGACCCGTTAGACGCGTTAGACTCGGAAGGGCGTATTGTTGTCGTGTCCGGCTGTGCACCGCCGAGCTGGGAAGGTGAGCTGCGGCGCCTTCTTGTCGGTGCAGCCTGCCCTCCCTCCTCCTCCTCCCCCCCCCCGCGCCACCACCCGGAGTCGTCCGGCCCATTAACGACCTTGCCGCAGGGCCCAGTCGTCCCGCCGCCCGCCCGCCTGCTTATGTCTTCCCCGACTGGGAGTCGCCTCTCCCGGGTATAACGGCATGAGCCGGACACGAGGCCGGGCACCTATTCGCCCAACTCGTATCAGATTTGAGCCCGACAACATGAGTCTACTTTGACAATTGGGACCAAGATCTCGCATGCAATACGGACGGACTCATATCAGGCAGTGGACGCGCGTGAAGGAGTCCGGGCTCACGTCGTTATACCCCCTCTCCCTTGCGTCCGGCCGACACTCTCCCTCCACCTTTGGTCCCCGGCCCCGTGAGTGCATACTGGGTGCACGCGCACTCCCGGAGAGTACCAGAGTACCCCCCGACCGGTCGGCCCGCATCACGACGGACGCAGCAACCGGCCGATACCCGGTTAGCCTTTGTCATGCCGTTCCTGGCGCACGCGAGCACCTCGCATTATCGGACGGCGCGTACTCACTCGCAGTCGAGCATGTTGACCCCCCCCCCCACCTTCTCCTCCGCCACCTCGGATTGGGTTCGTTCCACTCCGGACGATACAGACACATCAATCATGTGCTTCGGCGGGGCCGGCGGGGCGTCACCGTGCATGTGACACGTCGTCGTGCCCCGCCGCGCACGGCGCCGCCGGCCTTGGGGCGCTTGCGTCTTGTGCACCTGTGAAACCCACTCCAGGTTAGCCGTCGCGAGGCCAGGTCGCGCGAACGAACAGGCGCGAATGACCGCTTTTGAGTCCCACCCCACCTCTTGCCATCGCTGCAAGTACTCTTGCACCGGTGGTGTGAGCGCAGCAGCCTGCCTGATTTGCCTCTCCTGCCTATTTGCACGCCGCCGGCGGCCCGGGCCGGGCCGACGTCATGCCAAGGCCGCTCTTGTTAGCACGGGGACGCCAAGTGCGCGCGGGGGGTGTGCCCGAGGCTGTGTCGCCGCCGTGCCCCTGCCCCTGCCATGCCATGGCCCCCGAGAGGAAGTCCCCACTGGCTCACACCGGCTCGGCTGGAGCCGTTGCTGTAGCGGGGGCTGCGCAGTGCGCAGTGCACAGGGGCGGGGCGAGGGCAAGGGGTCGGCGTCGAGCGCCTGCGAATCCGAGATAGGCAACACCGCCATGCACGCGCGCGCTCAACGGTCGAGATTGCCTACCCCACAGGCGGCAGTGCGGCCATGTGGCACGGCAGCGAACGAGACGGGAGCTGCTGGCGCTGGCGGCAGCTTATTGCTTCTTGCCTGGGTTGCCGCATCGGAGTCCAATCATTGGCTCCGAGACCTGAGGCGCATGGTGGCGCGGGAGGAGGAGGAGGGGAAGGAATGGCCGGCGACACTTCGAATTGGGGCCAATAGCCCATGGCACGTACGGCGGGCGAGCGCCACGTGTGGGACAATGGAGCTCATGGAGCCTACGCGAGTGCCGCCTTCGTGGGCCGGTGCGCGTGCACTGGCGAGCTCTCTCTCCTCCACACCTAGAGCGCCTGCCTCCTGCTCCCGAGCGACTTGCCTCACCGTCGGGCCATACGCGTATCTGTTCTTTATACCACTTTCTCTCGCAGCCGGAATGTAAAACAACTCCTCTCCTGACAGGCGCACGCTGTGTCCGCACTAGGGGTCGCCCGCCCGCCCGCCCCCCGGCTGGACGGGCAGGGCCGCCGGCTTAGTTTGGAAGCGCCGCCCTCGCTCTCCGTCTTCCTTCCCTCCCCGCTCCTCTCCAACCCTTTGACCTTTCTGCCTCGGTGCGCGCGTGCAGAGAGGCGGGCCGCGCTAACATCATGCCATTTGAAGCGGGCCCTCCCGCCTGTGCGGCTGGTCCGCGCGGATTTTGACTGACTGTGCCTGCTGCCGGTTGTTCGCGGCCCTCGCGGCGGCTCCCCTTTGGACTTCCCCATGCCCCCCCCCCCCCTTCCCCCGCGCGGCTCGCCCGCGGCGTGGCCCGGTGCAGAGATGGCGTGCCGAGCTGTCATATTGCTGGCAGGTCTAAAGTCAGGTCTATAGTGCCGGGGGCCGTCGGTCCGTGGCCTGGCGTGGCCTGGCGTGGCCTGGCGCTGGCGTGGCGGCTGCCGTGTCCTGTTTTGCGTTTGGCTTCGCTTATTGAGCGTCCCCCGCGCGGACACACTCCCCGGCGGCCTGCGCCGTCCTTGGTCTTCCCTCCGTCGGCCGCGCGGGAGATGCGCACGAGACAGGTGCATCCCAACGAGATTCAAATACGCCTCACTCTGCACACACACCCGTGCGACCTTTGGTCTCGGGGAACACAGGTTGGCTCGATCTGAATTTTAATGATACGATCGTAAACCGTTGAAGTGGTTCCTTGAGCCCAGATTGGATGCCACGTGTGGCGACGTCCGAATCGTTAAGAAAGGTTGCAGCTATGCCGCTGTGGATGCGACCGATGCAACTAATGTTGGTCAATGTTGGATGTACAGGGTGTATCTTGAATGGGCTCCAGAGTGTTGCGGGATGGCATACTCGTTAGGGCTGTAGGGGTCATGGCGCCTTACGGGCGAAGGGAGTAAGGCAAATTCTCAACTCTGCTGGAGCGCACTCAAAGACGAGCGCTCCAGCAGCCGGTGGCTCATTAACTCGCTGTTCATCTTGAAGGCGCGCCTCACGTTCCGTTTGGTGTTGCAGGTGGCACGGAGCGCATCTTGGACGAGCGCAAGGTGCTGGTGCTGCTGAATCCCAAGAGCGGCCCCGGCCGTGCCCGCGACGTGTTCCAGCAGAAGGTGGTGCCGTTGCTGCTCGAGGCCGAGTTGGGCTACGACCTGCACATCTCCAAGCACGCCAACTTCGCGCGCGAATACGTGCGCACCAAGGACATCTACCAGTACCGCGCCATCATCACCCTTGGCGGCGACGGGATCATCTTTGAGGTGAGGGAACATGGGTGTTCTTGTTCTGCTGTGCGTTCCTGTCCGGGCGACCAACGACGAATGACCTGTGCGACCTCAACTTGTCCATTAGGTTGTCAATGGCCTCTTCGAAAGACCGGACTGGATGTCTGCGATAAAAGAAGTTCCAATTGGTATTATACCTTGTGGTTCGGGGAATGGTCTGGCAAAGTCGGTGGCAATTGAGTAAGTACAACTTTTGAGAGTTTTTCACCAATCTCAAGGATTTCAGATGAAAATTTAATGAGTTTTACCTTACAGTGATTCATACGATCAAAACCCAGTTCTATTTTCAACACTAAACATATTGAAAGGAAATTCAACTCCTTTGGATTTGGTTCGAGTAGAAACTAGATCAAAGGTAAAACTTCCATGTTTATTGAGAAATCAATTGTTTTAAAAATGGACGAAGGAAAAGTATATTAAAATGTGATATTGTTATTTTCAGATTATGTACTCATTTTTATCAATAGGGTGGGGTCTTTTATCAGATATCGACATTGAAAGTGAGAAGCTTCGTGCAATTGGTGGGCAGCGCTTCACAATTTGGAGCCTGGCAAGGTTAATAGGTAACTATTGCCTCTTTGCCTTTTACTTTTTTGACTTTTATGGAGATGTGGTGCTATACATTTTAATTGTTTAGGACTGCGCACTTACAAGGGTCGTATTTCATACCTGCCTCATCCAAATCATAAAAGCCCAGTGCAAACCACTGTTTCTGGTCGCACTGTGTCACTGACCCGAAGTGCTAGTCAAATGGTTGACCTTGACCCCATCAGTGAAAATGGAGTAGGCTTCATGACGCCAATGCACACAAGCCAAAGTATGTTCAGTGATATTGTTGATCCTGACAGTCCGCTCCGAGACCTCAGTTTAGAGACAGCCTATGCCAAAGTATGTGATGTATAACTAACAGAATTTAGTTAACAAACACTCACCCTCAGAAATTGACCTTTTTTTTCCTCTCTTTTTCAGATTGCTGAGGATATGAGCCCAGTTGAGCAGCGGTCTCGAATGGATAGTTTCTACTCTGTCAATTCTCGACGAAGTACCTTCTATTCAATAGGAGGCTCCAGTTTCCAATCAGTTTTTGATCCCAGCTGTGATAATCCCAATGGGAGTGTCAATGTACAAATGTATGGCCCTCCCTCTCAATTACCTTCACTCACACAGCCTGTACCAGAATCCTGGAAAACAATAGAGGGTATGTGTGGAGGAGAATTCACATTTTTATTTTACAATGAAAGTACTGCTTGTGGTATAAATTTTCTTGGAAGGAAAAGATTTATCATTTGTTTGACTTGCAGGAGAATTTGTCATGATGCACTCAACCAATGTTTCTCACTTAGCCAAGGATTGTTTATTCGCCCCCGATGCTAAGCTGAGTGATGGTATCATATGGTTGGTTGTCATTGAAGCTGGTATTTCAAGACATCAACTTTTGCAGGTGAACATTTACTTATTAAATATGTTCAAGTTACTGATTATATTGAATAATATTGGTTTAATTAAAATGATCAAAATAGACAATATTCCTTCGTAAGGTAGAGAACTGTAGCTTTCTAATTATTATTTTTTCCCTTTCAGTTTTTGTTAGGACTATCTCATGGAACTCATCTGAACTGTCCTCATGTTAAGATGTTACCTGTCTTAGCATTCCGATTGGAACCCGAAACTGATGGTAGTTATATAACTGTGGATGGCGAAGTTGTGGAATATGGACCTATTCAAGCAGAAGTGATGCCTGGACTGGGGCGCATTATTTCACGCTGAGGAGATTGAACAGTGTCTTGCCTTGTCTTGTCTTCTTTCCTGGTAGTGTCAAAGTGACCTATTTCTTCTTTGCTCATGTTTTGTGTTTATTTTATCCAAAAAAGAAATGTAATTTGAGGGTTTGGAATGTTGTTCTTTAATCCTCAAATTTCACAAATGTTATAATTTTATTCCAACACTATAGCTAAGAATGACCAGGTTTTGGATTACCTTACTGCATTATTTTATTTTGGGGAACCTCTTTCTTTCCTGTGTATTTTATTATAGCAGTGACTGCTAATAATGTTTGTTTGTTATAAAAATGACATGTTGGATGTTGTAGAAGATCCTTAGATTAAAACAAAGCCACTTCTACTTGGGGAAATCTATGATCTTTTAGTGTTTGTCTTCCAAAGATAAAATTAATTTGAATGGAACAGGATAATTTCTGTTTGTAAAACAAATACTTTTATTTTGTGTGCTTCTCAAAGATTGCGCATTTGATTTTACTGGTTAGTCATGTTTAAAGCATCACAAAGTTAATCAAAACAGCTGGTGTGGCATTCCACTTGAAACCACATTGTATGCCTTATTTTCTCCATACTTCCCAAGGAAGTCTGTCAGAACTAATTAGTATTGGAAATTCAGTATCTAGCTGTTTTTCCCTCTATGACATATCTGTGAAAGTTAAGCTGTGAAATTTGTTTCTAATTCCTGCTAGACGAAGTAACATTTGCATTCCAAAAGTTGGGGATGTTGAAATGACCAGTATAGCCAGCTCTCTTAAATTAAGCAATAAAGTGTTAGGGGTTTGATCTTTGATGCCCTCAACTTGATTTTCCTGTTTGTTGTTAATTATGTCCAATAAAATATTTATATTGATTGTTGTGTAATAGAACTTTATGCTTGTTGAAATTGTTTAAAGTGTTACCTTTAGCATAAATTATCTTTTCTGTTTAAGATTATGTTATGAATACTTCCATTTCTCTATGTATAGTTTTCTTTGTGTCTGTTGTTACTTTTAGACAACTGTACACCTATGAAAGATTTTTTGTGAGGTTGTGGTTTTATAAATAATTGCAATTGAAAAGTTTTAACTTGTGCATGGGCCAATTTATGCATTTTATTAATATTCTTGTTCTTGTCATATTTTATTTTTGCACAAGCTAAACTAGATGTATATTTTCCATAACTAAATTTCTTGTTCTCGAACGGGGTTCTTGTTATTTTGTGATAGCTATGCCTTTTGTTGTATATATTTGTAAATTTTCTTATATTTTTATCAGAAATTTGTGCTCAAATGATGACTGTGCCATCTGTGGGGAATCACAAACTAAAAGTTACCACCTTGTTACGTCATTACACCTTTTTTCTGCTCGAATATAACAAATATGTACCTTTTGTAATGCAAATATCATGTGAGGTTGTGTTATTTCTCTCCACATAATTTTTCAAGCAGTGCGAAAAGGCTGTACCTTCTCTGTTAATTCTTTTTTCAACAGTCAGCTGCTTAGTGATTTTGTAATTTGTCAAATAATCCATGTCAACTTGAAATGTGAGGACTTTTTGAACAACTGACAATTTTGTGTACCATATTTCAATTGTCTCAATTAAAATTTGGCAATGGTGGGTCCATTTCCACTCTTTTAAAATCCCATCCTTTATTATTTAAACCCATCTTTAGGCTTAGGACAGTATAGAAATGTTGTTAAATTATCTGTTTTTTTTTTAATAAAACATTTGTCAACTATTGGACTGACTACATTGTCCATTTTGCTTCACTCCAGTTTACTAACAATTAATACCCTTCCTATTTTGCATAACTTGAAAGTTGTAAGTAATAAAAAAAATACTCTGGTATCAAAAAGATGTTGTGAAACAATTTACACTATTCAGTATCATATCAAGAAGGTGGTCATGGCAGATAATCTAAGGATACAAAGAGCAGGCAACTTCCCATCAACTGCATTTATTTTAGACTAGTATTACGAAAAGTAGAATACTCCATACAAAACAACAAAATGGGAACCAATGCTCACCAAGGACGAATTTTACCTGTAGAGACAGCGGTGAGTCTTATAACATTTTTAGGTCTTTTAATCATTTGCATTTGTTTATGACGAGGATGTACATCACACCAAACATGCAGCCTTTCCTCTATCATAACAAAATGGCAGTGTTTGCAACGTCTCCTCAGTTTACCTTTTGTCTGAAAAAGGTGTTCAAAGATTAGTATGCAATAGGAGGAACCAGCTCAATCAAAATAGTAATTTATAACTAAAATTAACCATTATTTACAAGTATCAAAAACTTACCTTCATTCCTGCATTTGGGATTGCAAGGACCGAAGCTGGCTTCAGAAATGATGGAGATAGCGTTGGTAATATTCCAAAAGTTTGGAAATTACTTGGCTTCACAGGATTCCATACACTGTAAGAGCACACCGAACTTTTCCACAAAATTCCAGTTAACGATTTGGAGAAACTCCGACAAACTGTGCTGATACAGGACATTATATCTGGAAGATAAATATCAAAGATAAAGCATTGGCTGTGGAAAAAATTACGTGGATAAATTATGGGAGCATAAATTTGTGGACAATAGAAGAGGACACTCACATCAGTTCCTTGTTTATCCAATTTAAGTTTGTTATGGTACCACCAAGTAGCTCTTACTTTACTTTAAATAAACTAACCGCTTCAACTTGATTCCAAACAAAATGACATTGCCACAATTTATTTCAAAATATCTTTCAAAGCTAAAACTCCATTTTAAATAGAAATCTAGTAATTAACGTGAACTAACGTATAACCACGGGTAGAAACAAGAAATTCGAGGTTAGTGCAGCTTCTGTTTCTTGTTTCTTGTCTTCTGCTGTTTAGATGGACTGATATGCGAAAGCCCGATCTTCATCATTCACGTACATCTCTAGTGGCTTGTGATAGGGTCAGATTTTGTTCATCCTGATATCACCTTTGAAAGATTTCGTTTCTGAAAATATTAAGAGAATGTACATTTCTCCAAATGGTGCCTCTGAAGATAAAATTTAACGAATAAATGAATGAATGGGCAAGTTGGTCCATTCAACGGTCGGTAACTGTTAGTGAAGAGTTGAAAAGACCAGCTGGCAAATCGCAGCCGCACCAACGCACCATCTCACACTGGAGTAGGATGCCTCCGTTATTCGTTAAGAATGCATTGTTACAATTTAATGTTCTCGCTGTCATTTGATAATTTGCCAAATCCTTTTTTCATATGGTCACAATTGAAAGAGGCTTTGCTCTATTTCCGTTTCCGTTTCCCATTCCCCTCTCCACTCCACCCCTCACCCTCCACCACCTCCCTCTCTCCTCCCTCGCCTCTCGGTGCTGCCGGAAACGGTGTCAGTACGTTGGGAGGTCTCTCGAAAGGAGGATCGTTGGAGGTGAGGTTGAACTTGCACGTGTTCCAACTTATTCTGACTTCGGGCGCCGGCCTGCTCTTGCTTTGATTCATTTAGCTCGTCTGTTGTGATCGTGTGGTGCTATTTGTATTGTTTTAAGTGCTCGAGAATTTTCTCCTTGCGCTAGTGGGGAAAATAGTGTCGCACCCAGGGCGTGTTTGCTAGGCCTATCTACGCCGCGGCGCGTAAGCGGGGCAGGGCTTCAGGAGACTCGTTATGTTTTCTTCAGTATTCGGATGCCATTTACTTCATTTCTCTGCCTATTTTCTGCATTCTGTTTTCTGTGCAATGGTCGGTTACGGCTTGGTTAAGTGTTGGTGTATGTGTACCAAGCGTTCATGGGAGGAGCCTGCCCGCTATGGTCAGCCAAATGTCCTGTCTCTAAAAGGCTTCGTGCCTGTTAAATTTATTTTATCGTCTATAAGTTGTTGACGGAGTTATCGTTCGTTTGTGTTTCTCGGATTAGTCGTACCCCCTTTTAAAATAACCTAATAATCTGTTTTCCCGCCTATTTGCCTCCGGCAAGACAACTGCATTCTTTATGCCCAATGGCGGCATTACCTCGTGTTCGCGCCAAATCTTGTTGTTGCGTCTGTGCCATAAAAACTATTGCTATATCTTCTATTTATATTTTGCTTTCTTAGGCTTATTGTGTGGCAAGTTCTTTTGAAGTTTTGTTATTGGCTCTTACTAAGCTTTGCATTGCGCCTAACCTACTTTCTAGACTAGATTTTCTGTTTCATGGAAAGTGTTTGGCTTCATGGGGCCGTCTTCTTTTCAGCTGTCATAGATGGATTGTTGTGGTGCCAAAGAGGCTGTGAAATGTTTCGCAGCTTCATATCACAGTCTTCTTTGGTATCATAAAGATCTGTCCCCACATCTTGGTATTCATCCTGCACCAGCTTTATCTGTTACATTTGTTTTAGGACCGCCTTATTTGTGCTTAACTCGAGTCCCCTTCTAACAGCATATTTTTCAAGATTTACTTCATTCAAGAGTTCCTGAACCTTCTCTTGATTTTGCTGTGATCCTGTGTAATTGACTCACATCACAGCTGAATCAAGAGCAGTGTTAGGGATGCTTTCTTCTCAACCTCAACTCTTCTGCCAGTGAAGCGTCGCCCTCTGATCTATGGACGTCCCGCAGGTTTCGCTGTGATGTGTAATATTTGATCATATCACAGCTGAAATCTGTGAGAGTTTCATGTGGTTCTAACATCAACATTCTCAAGTGTACACCTCTACCATTGGAATCTTTTTTCAAGAAATTAACCACTGCATTTTATTTTTCCAATGATCAATAAATCATTTTAAACCACTTTATTGTTACAATTCATTTCCAACATCAAATAACATATTTACTTAGATTTAAACCACTTGGGTACTTTTCCTTCACTGCTTGGTCTCGTTTTAGATTCATTTCGATTTTCAGTTCTTGCATTTGATGTACTAGCTGAAAATTCTTGACTAGGACCAGGTTCAACTCTCCTGGGAACAATATTTCTGGGAAAAAAAGATTAATACTACATTCTGCAGAAAAATTTGCATTTTTGAATTCCAATGTGCAATTCTTACCTGCGCATCGATTCAGCGGCCGCTGCTGCTGCTGAAGCAGTAGATACTTGAGCCATTACTTCTTCACTAATGTAAGACCCGTTAAGGGGACAAATAGCCGGTGAAAGGAAATACACCAAAGCTCCAGGTACACAATTAGCATCAACTAATGTTTGGTCAGGCATTAATACTTCCTTGGGAGGGGTAGTAACTGCAATTGTTCAAGACATTAGTACCCCCTAAAATACTGAAACAGATGTGCAAATCATACTTACAGATTTCAAACTCAATTGAAGGATCTTGAAGGTATTTCCTGACAAAATCTATGACATGAGAAACTTTCTCAAGAGGAGTAAATGTTCCCTGTAATACTAACTGATTAGGAAATTGCACCTTAATGATACAGCGTTTATACTGGTTCAGAGCACTTAGCACTTGTTTGGACTTCTCTAGTTCTCTATACTGGGAAGTTACCAAGGGTCGTTCTTCAAGTGCAGCCCTGTAGAGTAGAGAAAATGTGAGCACTTACTCAGTTTTACATACCAAATAACACCACTGGTACTTACTGTCTGCGCTTCATGTCTCGTAGAAGTTGTTTTGCATCATCGACTGTTAAGTCAAAGAAATCATCGGGAACATCCTCTGGTTTACAAGCCCTAGCGGTTGTTACATCAAAGAGAACTGCATTACGTTCCCCCAACTGTCAGAGGGGGAATTTGATCAATTATCAAGCCACTGGTAATTATTAACTGATTGTGTTTAAGTTCCACTTACAAATACGATTGTTTCCTCAGCTGCCTCGGTGGGTGCATTTTCTTGTGGCATAGTGTGCACAGATGAGCTTTCAGTAGATGAAACTTGAATTGTACATTGAGAAGTATCCTCATAGTCCATATCTACTTCACTGTTGGATTTCCCTTCAATTTCTGCAATTGTTCCAGTGTTATGTTCACCTTCCGCAGAACTTGAAATTTGTTTCTTGGCAGGATTTAATTGAACATCATTAGAGTCACATTGAGATCCATCTTCAACAACTTCAGGTGCAACAGGACATGATTGATGGGAAGTACTAGCTCCACCCACACTCATTGCAGGATACTTCAAGTTTTTCTGAGGAATGCTGCTGTTGGACTGTTTGACCATAGGTTCCTGAGCAGCGATTAATCGTGGCAAAGGTGCTGAAACATTAGCTTGCCTTTTAAGCTCATCTCTTGCTTTTTTAAAAAACCTGCAAAGCATTATAATTAGAACAATTAGAATGAATCGGATTGATTTCGGGGGTAAGTCAGGGTCTTTTCAAGTGATAGCTCACCTAAGAATTGCTCCACCTGATGTAAGACCCAAGCTACGCAATGTTGTTTTCTCTAAATTTTCCACACCACATTCTTCACGACCAACATAAAATATGACAGGTAATATTTCAGCAGATTCATCTGCCTCAGCCTCCTCAGGACACAATGTCTTAACCACATGCCACAGAGAATCTAGAGGTGAAAAAAAGGAAGTAAATCTCATTGTTTAAAAATGTACAGTGAATAAAATACTAAAAGAGGAAACATAATTTATTAACACGTTGAGTGCGGCGGGGGTAGGCAATCCCATGTTATTGTGACCCACGGTGTGGGTCACGCCGCACTGAACGTGTTAATAATTTACCTGAAGGTTCAAATTCTCCCATGACACGACCACCACTTTCAAGAGCAAGACCCACTTTGACACTGCTTTCAGCTCTTGCTTTTAGAGCTGCAGCCATTTCCAGCTGTGCGTTATTTGGTAATCCAGTATATCGCATGATCGAAGTGGCATCAAGAACCTTATTATGGTGTCTGAACACAATAATAAAAATGACTCTCAGATGACAGCAAATCTTTTCATTATAAAATGTAATAGGAGAAAAATGTCAAAACCTATCAAGAAATTAGGAACTTACAATATGTCGTACTCCTCAGCTTTGAATCCCTGCTTGTGGCATACTTCCTCGAGAACCTTCAGACAAATAAAAAAAAACACAATTTAACAGATGGTTCAAGCACTGTCAAGTGCTTGGAGCATGACAAATTCGTAAAAAGGAAATTTTGAAGTGAGTAGAAATTCATGTCAGAGCTTGGTCGTGCTGTCAAAACTTTACTGGGATTGCGAAATGTGTCCCAACACATCAAGTAAGCCGTAAGGTTGTTCCCAACCCCAGCACAAGTGTTTCGTGTGTGTTCTTATGACGGAGTACAAGAAAACTTGATTTGAACAGAAAACTACGATAAATCATGAGAATGACATTTCACTTTCAAAAGAGACAATTAGTTCATACCTGCAAAATAGTCGTGTTTGGGGTAACTTTGACATTTTGACGTCTGCCATTGGGAGCTAATACAATAACACATTTGTTTGACATTCTTCATCAACTTCAACGACTTCGTCTAGAACGCCTCAAGTGTTAACTCTTGCTTGAAATTTTTGTGTTTTTCAACGTAATGGCTCAGTGCCTTGATTCTTTTCTTGTATTGAAGTTCAACCGGCAGCATCAACTATGTGACGTGTGACGTCACATCTTACTCTCTTAATCTCGCCCTGATTTCTTCTCGTGCACAATATGAGAAATCAGGTTCTAGCTTGTTGATTTTAGAGTTTCGGCGCGAAAACAGCACAATCATAACAGCTCAAAGACAGCCCCTCGCTGACTACTCGCTGTTGTATACCTTTTTATAGAAAATTTAAAAAGTGGATTATTAGGCTGCAAACAATGGCAACAAAATTCAGCGACAAATTTATATGCGTTGCTAATACTTTGCAAACATTACAGGATAATTTACAATGTGTCATATGGTAGGGATTTGAAAAAATATTTTTAGTGTTTTTGTCTAGGTTATTGCAGAGATGTACTTATTGAGTGTTGTGACATTTTGGAAGCTTAAGTAATTCTCTCCTAATTTTTCCTCCGTTTTATTCAGCTTAGAAACGTTAAAACAGCCTGTAAGCACTCGTTGTGGACACACCTTTTGTCAGCCCTGCATCAGTCGAGTTGTGAAAGGTAAAAATGCTGTCTGTCCCTTGTGTAATGCCCGAGTCAATCGTCGAGGCATTGTCGAAAATGAAAAAATTAAAAGTCTTGTCCAAGCTGTTCATGTCTTGATGTCCAGTGCTCAAAAGGATGCTGCAGAGATGGGCTGTGAAAACCGTATGTATCTGTTCTTTTCTGTTTTACTTTTTTTTATTGTTTTTTGTTTTTTAATTTGTTTTTTTAATTTGTTTCTCCTTGCATTTTCGATTTTGTTTACCAAATTGCAATTGTTTCCTGTTCATGTTTCAGTTTTGGATTTAGCTAAGGAGTTCAGAAACTCTTCTCGAGAATCCTCATCTCCTACTGGAAATGTAAATGCTGCCGTTGCCACTGATTCGGGAACTAAAATGGTTCCACCTAAAACTTCTAAAGTTGAAACATGGCTAATGTGTATGTCTCCAACTCGTCCAACTCAAGATTCTAGTCCCACTATTCATGCAGATAACACACCTAATGAAGAATCTGACCCTGAAATGGTCTCAGTGTCACAAATCAAGCCTGAGACCTCTGTGTCTTCGAAAATAAAGCCGTTGTCAGCGTGCATTGAAGAGGATGTTGACGCAGATGAAGGAAATTCAAAACAGTTCAATTTTAAGCCAAAACCTGCCTCCAAAGGTCGAGCTGCCCCAAAAAATATTTCAATTAAAGGGAAAGGAAAGCAAGAATCGATCACAAATTTCTTAGGCAAATCAAAACCATGTAAATCTAAGCCAACAACATCTGTGTCCAGCACTGCCAGTAGCTATACCATCACAAAATATCCTGATCTTAAAGTTCCTGATCCTGTAGTTGTCATTCTCAACAGAGAAAAAGAAAATACAACCAATCCTCTTCCTCCACGGTCACCTGGTTGGTCACGTATTAATAAAATGAAGAAAGATTTCAGCCATCCATCAAAAGTGCTTAAAGTGGTCAATTCAAAGGGTGGTAATTCGCCAATACCAGTTATTGAAGATGGTGGCAGTGGTGATGATCAGCCCTGTTTTAGTCTCTCTTTAGATAGTCCAGTATTAAAGAAACGAGCCAAAATGAATGAAATTGTCACCAACCTTGAAAGTGAAATAATAATTTTTGAAAAGTCAGTTCATAAAAAAGAGAATAAGAGAAGTGAACAAATGTTTCAGCCTAGCACTAGCACAAGGAGCAATCATCAGCAGCCGGGTGAGTGCTATTTTGTAGTACAGACATTTATGTGTGTGGTTTATTTCATTTATTTTTAAAAAGCTATTGATATTCCTTGTCCTCTTTAAGTAGGTTCAAAGGTGTCTTCTGTTCAACCAAGAGTACGATTTTATAAACTAGGACCATTTATTGCAAGAAAACAACAAAGAGTACCCATTTACCTGAAGGGCCCTCTTGAACGTGCAGATTTTTTTGATGTTTCATCAATGGGATATCGGTCAGTTTTCTCAGGTATTGAAACACCAATTTTTAGTGTAAATTATAATTTGACATGTTTTTTTGTTTTATTTCTCAGACTACTTGTGGATGCAGAAACTCAAACCAGCCCCAAGTCAGAAAAGATCGCTCAGTTTACGGTGCCCAACCCTCAAGATACTCTTTCAAGTCCACCCCTTCACGCTAGAAGTCAGCACAGAAAAAGTTCAGAATATGATGTTGACATGATGGATGCTGAAACAGTTGTTTTTACCCAGCCACTAAGACGTTCTGATATGGTCATTCCAGAAACTCTATCTCATGATGAAATGATAGATTCTGGAGAACCTGTGGACTTTGAGAGTGCCCTAGAAAGGGACAAATCCTTGTCTCAAATATCAGAGATATTTTTGAAAGGAAATGACCCAATCAACATTTTGTCAGGCAGCAGACAGTTGTCTCAAGAGTCTGTGTCAGTTGTGTGTTCTCCAAACATTGAAAACAGCCCTAAAAAAATATCAGACTTAGAATCTCAATCAGTTATAAATCCTACAATAGACCTTGATGACTCATGCTCTAGTGTGTTAGATGGGAAAAGATCCAAAAGAATACGTTCATTGGCAACCTCAAGTGAATCGTCAGATTCTGAAGTAGGTGCTTCCAAAACAAAAACTAAGAAAAAGAAGAGGAGTAAACAGCCAGTACTTTCTGATAATGAAGATAGTTGTAATAATCAGTTAGATATTAGTATTGTGGACACTGAAAAAATCATGGCCAATATTGAGGCTGAACTTGAGGAATCAGCAAGACCAGGATCTCCTGTTTGGATTCAACAGGACTCCAACAAAACCATTTTACCTATGGAACAAACGTCTACTAATCCTCAAACTTTTGATGAAAATCTAGATGTGTTATCTGACACATCTGCAACTCAGGTATGATGTCATACTTTGACATGAGTTATTCTTGTTGGCTCCTATTAGCTATAGTTCTTTTCTTTGCTTGATAGATTGATAGTGATGCAGATTCAGAGTTGATTAATCCAACTCCACAAAAGCAACCATCATTTTTATCAAGGTATTGAGATCTCCTCTTTTTCTCTTTCTAATATTCATAAATTCTTAGCAATACTAAATTATGATAACATTTTTATTGATACAGGACAGTCACTCAATCAGATGACATAGTTCCGAGTTCTCAGCCTTCTGGCGGAAGTCCTCCCCTCCAAGTATCAGTGTTGCAAGCTACTTCCACGGACTTGCCAGAAAAAGAGTCTCCATGCATTCCTTCAGTAGATCCAAAAGATCAGAAGGAGAACACAATTCTTGATGAGATATGCATAACTGGAAATAGAGAACATGTTGTGGAGCCTATGAGCTTAAACACAAGTTCTCCAGCCATATCACTGGCTGTAAAACCAGTATTCGTATGCAGCAGTATTCCAGCAAATATGAGCTCACAGGTACTTAAGTTCTTTAATATTCTAATTTTTTGTTTCTTCCGTCTTGTGTATGTTAACCACAATAATTGAGAATTGTTTTTCTTTAGGTGGAGAAGCTTGCAAAAATGGTTGGTGGTGAATTTTCATCTAAGTTCTCTAATAACACAACCCATCTAATTGTTAGAGTGGAAGAAGGCAACAAAGCTGACAAAACTTTGAAATATTTGTCAGCTGTTGCTTGTGGAAAGTGGGTTGTTACATTTCCATGGGTTCAGAAATGCTTAGAATCTAACAAGTTGATTCCAGAGGTAAAATTTACTCCAATTCATTTAAATGAACAGTCACTCCCCAAATGTAGTTTGCCTTCTATTTTATTATATAAATGATCAAATTTGTAAATTTAGGAACCTTATGAAGCTTTTGACACTACTGGTGAACCAGGCCCACGTCGATCAAGAGAAGCTCGTCAATCTGGGCAGAAGCTGTTCGGTGGCTTTGAATTTTGTTGTATTGGTGATTTTCTTGATCTCTCCAAGTCTCAGTTAGAGGTTGGTCATTCCCTTTTAGAAAGTATTTAGACTTTTTTGAACTTGTTCAGTTAATGTATAATGTGTTTTCAATATGCTTTTTTTTTCTCCATTCAGGAACTTCTTGTCGAGTGCGGAGGGTCAGTAGTATCTAAGCCAACTGAATTTTCATTTCAAGACCGCATTATACCTATATGCTTAGCTCAGTGGGAAGAGGAAAAAGAGCAGGAATATTCTTGTAAGTTTTTATATCTCATCAAACTGTGATAAACATTCTAAAATATGCAAGATTCTAATCTAATCTGTATGATTTGCAGCATGGTTGGACAAATACAGCAGTCCTCTCATCCAACATGAATGGGTTTTGGATTGTATTGGGAAATTCTCTGTGACATCTTTTGCGCCTATGTTGCTGTGTGATGTAACCGACGATGTCTTGACATCAATGGGAATACCACCTCCCCTCTTTGAATTCACAGAAACTGATCAGGATCAGTAATAATACAATAAGATTTGCTATTACAGTGTTTGAAGTTTCCACTCATAATACCTTTTGGGGAACATAACTTTCATCTGATTTGCCTTTTATCCACTTGTTATGTTCCGTCTTCACTTCTCTGTCAATATTCATAGTCCAGATTTGTTCTATATGAACTCTCATGGCAGCAAAGGAGGCTCATCTGGATCTTTTGTTCTCATAGTATGTATGTGATAATGTCTTGTTTCCTTCTTAATTAATGTATATGTTCATAGTTTATGAATTTTAATATTTGCATGATATATATCCCTTGTTTGTTTTGCATACATGATGCTGTTTGTATGTTTTGTACATTTTATTTTAAAAATTGCTCTGCGGGTTTATTTTAGAGCACACACTAAATTTGGATTATGTTATTTATTGTTAGAATGTTATGAATTACCATGCACAATGCATTAAGTTATCCATCCAAGTAGAATGAATCTTTCTACTTTAAAACTTGAGACAAGCTTAAGGATTACAAAAAGTCATTCTCAGTTGTATAAACAAAGCTTTATTTATTTACTTATAATATACGAAACTTCTATCACAATTAAATGTGTACCTCGTCTTGTTCACATATGTGCTATATATTTCTAATCCAATCAATAAATGTTATGTATAAAATTTGAATTGTAAAAATATATAATTGTAATAATAATAATAATATTCATTTTCTTTCAATAAATTTCTGCTGTTATTTGATGTCTCACATTCTCAATACAAAAACAGCAGGAATGTGACAGAGCAAACAAATTTCATTAAATGACAAGAAAACATAACTGAACAAACGAATTCAAATTTCATTAGATTGTTATGACACATAGTATGGTACACCTTGTCAAAATTTCCATCTGCACTAGAGGGAATACAAATAAAGTCTTGTGGTTGCTCTTGTCACACAGGAATTAATACTGGCATCTTCTTAACTTTTCTGTGACTGCACTGCTCTCTATTTTCATACTGAGATCAACTATTCACTTATTCCAATGTAAACGTTATCAAGTTGACTACTAATTGATAAAACATAAGTAATATACTTTAAAAGTATGCATTTGCTTACAAGGCTTAATTGTCGTTGGCTTGCAATTCAAAAACCATAACAACTTGAAAGTTTAGATGGCTTTAAAAGCCCAGTTTCATAGTTGCTCTTTGTAACTGCTGGAAAATGCCAATATTTATAAAAAATAACGAGTATCAAAACATACAGAAGCACTGTATAAAAGGACAAAGGAGTAGGCTTCTTGGACAAAGCAAGCAACAGCCTGAAACATATCAGCACTAATGTACTGCACCATTGTTCTACAGGTATTATTATGCATTATGTCCATTGCAATTGACTCCCGATCCAGCAAGGTCAAAATCAAAGAAAACACATAATTCGTTCAACATTCAATATATTTGAATGTATGACTGAAATTTGAAAATCAAGAGAAAATAAACTTGTTTCTTATAAAATAAAAGTATCTCATAAAATCACAATTTTTGTTTGACTATGAAAAACTGTTGCCAGTTTTAGACAATTGCACAGATGACCGCTCAGCGGTGCACGTTAGGCGGAGTGCCGTCACAAGGACACGAGCTTATTGCCAATATTACTATCTGGACTCGACAAGTCGACCGAGTTTTGATTGCGTTGTTGAGACGAACAAGAGGGCACCAGGGGACCAGAGACGGGCGTGAGACCAGTCCCACCGTCCATCAGAGAGTCAAAGTTCAGGGGAATGCCCGTCGACGGGGTGGTTATGGAAATGCCGGCGATTTCCGCGGCCGACGATCTGAGGATGGTGTGGGATGACACCGGCAGTGACGTCGGTCTGGGTGGTTTGCTTTGGGCTGGAGGCGGCGCTGGCATCGAGAGGTGCGGTCTTTTGGCCGGCAGCGGCTCGTCCAGCCTCGGCTCTTGCTTCACCTCAAAGAGCGTCGGCACCGTGGGCTTGATGTCCGGTGGGCTGGAGCAGGGCTCCGGCCGAGAGGGACGGCGGCACACATGACTCTCCAGAATGTACTGTAGCTCGTCCATTTGCATCTTCAACTCCTGGATCTCCTGCTGCAGACCCTGCTTCTTCTTTTCCAAACCCTCCGTTTCCTGCGGACAAATGGGTCACAGGTGTTAGTGCACTGTCGATTAGAGTGTTGTCCCCACCACTTCCAGTGCAGGCGTACTTACAATGATGAGGGAGTTGGTGTGGTCCATTCGTCTCTTTCTGCAGCGGGCAGCGGCGGCCTTGTTCCGGTCGCGGCGCACCTGGCGGCGCTCCTCCTCCTGGGGTGAGATCTGCGAGGGAAAGCGGGGGTTGGTTAGACACGATCTAATGCGGCGCAACGAGTGGCTGCAGAGGGAACCTCCAACTCGACTTACCCCCTTGGCTTTGTTTGGCCGGCGCCCGCCCACGCTCCTCCGGGCAGGGGTGACGCTGGGGGTGGGGCTGCTGGACGAGGGGCACGGCGACACGGCGGGCAGAGGGTGGCTCGGCGCCAGACTCGCGGCCGTGGATGACGCCACGCTCACGATGGCGCCCACGCCGCCGGGATTCGAGGCGCTCGCGCCCGCGGGCATGGTGGTGACGGAGCCGCCCTGCCACGCCTTCGAGTCCACCATGTTGATGTAGGTGGACGACGAGCAGTTGACGATAGGGGGCACGAAGCCGGCCTCGTTGTGGTAGGTGGGCTGCTCGTCGTCCATGGCGCCCGATAGAAAGTCCACCGTGGTGGCGAGCGAGCGCAGCGTGGTGGGCGTGAGCGTGAGCGTGGGCGTGGTGGTGGTCTGCACGCCCGTGGGCAGCCCGTGCATGCCCAGGCCGTAGGCATCCAGCGGCAACAACTGTAACAAACAGACAGAATGGTCAGGGCTGGTCCAACGGGTACCTCCATGGCGCATCATGAACGGCTAAAAATAAGTCCGGGGCAAAGGAAAGCGCGGGGGGCAGCGGGCAGCGGTGTCGTTGGTACCTGCTGGCACAGCTCTTGCATCAGCACGCTGGGCAGGTCCACGGAGTAGTCCATGCTGTAGTCGGTGCAATTCGGTTTCGAAGGGGGTGGGGGTGGGTAAGGGTGAGAGTACATGATGACGCCGCGTCGCACGCCGCACAACGGCGGCTCGACGGGAAAATCGTAGGGGCGTCAAATCAAATAGCAAAACTTGTGTCGTTCGTTCGAAGAAAAGGTGCGATTAAAACATTGGTCGTTAGGGGTTCGTTGTAGGCGACCGGCCGCGGCGCGCGCGCATCGCCCGGCCCGCCCGTCGGGTGGGAGCCAACGTTGGCGACTGAGCGCCGCGGCGCCAGGCGTAGCCAGGCGTCGCCGTCTGGGCCTCTCTCGCACATCGCCAAGCTCACCGCGGTAAATATAGAGTAAGGGCCGCGAGGGGCGGCCGGCGTCCAGGCCCAGCCAATCTGGGGCCGCGGGCCACGAGGCCGGGAGCCAGGGCCCGGCAGGGGCACGGGGCCCAGGGCCCCACCCCGCCCCTGCATCCAAACAGCGACGCCCCCCCACCGCAGAAAGGCCCCGACACACGCCGCGCTTTAGCACAACGGCATTTCCGACAAACACGGACCGGAAATTCCCCGCAGTCTGGCGTTGGCCCGGCCCGCGTCGCTTCGGCTGTTGGCATGTCCGTTCTGACCCGCGCCTGCCGCGACGCACCGGCTCGAGGTGAGGTGAGGTGAGGTAGGTGCGAGACGAGACGCCGCCGCCCCCACTCTTCCCCCGGGGGGCCCCAGGCGCTCCAGGCCCCCCGACACGACGCACACCTGCAGGTGGCGTTAGGAGGCCGGCGCCATCCCCAAGTCACCCACCGCCCACTTTGCTCCCAACCCGCAGCTGTCTCTTCACTCCGCCCACCTGCAGCTGCCTCCGCCGGGCCATGAGGCGGGCCATGGGCCGGGCCAGACACATGGACGTTCGTACACACGCAGCCATGTGGCAACGCCGCCCCAGCGCTGGCCGCGTGGCCCCGCCTCACTCCCCTACGCCCCTGCCCTCCCCCAACCACCGCGCCGTCGTCGTGCGCCAAGCCGGCCAGCCCATGCTGGCAGCCAGGCCGGCCGGCCGCCAGGCACGCAGGCAGCCGCAGGCCGGCCACACCGCACCATCACAACAGCCTCAGCTCCTCCCGGTTAGGGGCCCGTCCCGTCACAGAGCAGCGGCAGCAGCGGCCACCCCCGTGGAGATGGACACGCAGGGGTGTCCTTGTCGCGGGGCGTGCCCTGGGCGTGCACAGCGGACTCGCAGTGACCCTTGGGGCGGGCGGGCCACCCTATCAGGCGATCAGGTGTTGGAGCGTTGCCGCGGCGCGGCCTGCGTGTGTGAGCGCAGCGGCGCGCTGGTAGCTTCAGATGCCGGCCCCCTTCCCTCCCAACTCTCTCCCCGCCCCCTTACCCCTTAGGAGGCCCACCGGACCCGGGCGGGGCCGCCGGGGCCGGACAGGGGGCATAGCCACGGCATAGCGGGAGCTAAGCGACCAGCCCGAGCCGGGCGAGCTGCAGAACCGTCGAGAAGGTCGAGGCGCGGCGAAGAGTGGGGCGGGGCGGGCGGGCGCGGCATCGCGTTGACGAGCCGTCGCCGACCAAAAGACGCCAGTCGCGACTCGCGACCCGGCCCGGCGTGGACAAGGAGGAGCGACCGAAATGAATGACCTCTCTGTCTCTGCTGTCTCCACATCCACCGCGACACGTCCACGTCGCGCGAAACCAGACTCGTCGAACTGTACACAAATCGCCCCGCATGAGCCGCGCCGCCAGGCCTAATAGGCCTGACCCCTCGGCGCGCGGCCGAGAGTTCACATGATGAGAAAGGCTGGCAGGTGCGAGGTGCACTTGGCGTTGCGCAACCCGAGAGCAATCGCAGTCGGGATCCGGCTCGGGCCGGGCCGGTTCGCCGGTGGCAACGGCCGCCGCTCGGGCCCAGCCTGGAGAAGGATTGAGCTCTGCCACTCACGGCGACGGCGAGGCGCGCGCGAGGGACTCTCGATTCGCGCCGGAAGTGGGACAAATACCTCACTGGCGTCACCAGGCCGCGCCGGGCCGGGCGGCGGCGGCGGCGGCGAGGCGTGTGCGGCCGAGGCGCGGAGGTTGGAAATCAGCGGCGGCGCGACGCGACGGGGCTCCTCCATCTCGCCCGCCAAGTTGGTCAACTTGTGCAATCACGTTATATGTACGGAGCCCGGTGCTCAGGGCCGCCGCACCCGGACCTTGCACCGGCACGGCCGCGGCAGCGCGGCGCGCACGCGGCAGCCAGCACGTTCGCGAACACGTTCCTACCCCGTTTGATGCGCGGCTCCAAACGGTCGCCCGGCCCGCGCCCAAAGCCGCCGCGAAGATAACGGCCCGCGCCCACCACTCCGCGCGACAAGGGTAGCACCCGTGCGTGAGCGGCGAGCGGGGAAAGGGGCGGGAACCACCCCCTCCCGCCAGGGCCATAAATGACCGATACACCGAGGGGGAGTGCAGAAATTAAATGTGCCAATGCACCCCTCGCTACCGCCGCGCAGCCCAGCCCACCCTCGCACGCACGCGGAGGGTGCGCACTTGGGCGTGGCGAGTCCAACGGCCGCCCCGCCCCGCCCACCCCTCCCCGCCCGGCACTGAGGCGACAAGGGCGCCGCCGTCTGCCAAGCCAGGCGAACATTTTTAAGCCCCCCCTGCTCGGAACAAATCGACCGAAATCGCAGCCGCATACAAGACCGTCGTAGCGACACTAACACGCTGCCGGGGAGCGCGCCCGGGCCGCGCGGGGTCGGCAACCGGAGCGCGCGGCCGTGGGCCGGCTGCCTACCCGCCCGGGCGTTGAATGAGGCCGACAAGCGGACGGGGGATTAGCCGGAGAGGCGTTGCGTGGGCCCTACCGAGAACAGGCGGGGCGGGCCGCCCGCGCCGGGACCGGACACGCCCCGAACCACTCCCCTACTACACCTTGTCCTGCGCACGGGTGAAAGTAACTAACTACGCACTCCACCACCGCACCGCGCGCCGGCCGCGGCCACCCTCCCCGCCGGGCCACACAAAAGGCCGCGCGCCGGGCCACGCGGTGTCCACGCCCCGTGCGCCTCCAGTTTGTTTGCCTCGTTGACCCACATTGTCTGGGCGATGATTGCGGCCGGAGCCCTCCGGATCCCCGGAATCGGATCAGACGCGCTCGGCTGCGTCAGACACCGCGGCGGGGCGAGCGTGGTCGCTGTTGACCGTCGCGCCGACCGCTGCGGAACGTCTTCGTCTTCTTCTTCTTTCGCAACTCGCGGCCGCGGCGCCTCACCTGATCGCATCGGAAACGGCAGCGAAGCGCGCGGCGCAACGCCCCTGGCCGCCACACGGGCCCGCGAGGCGCCAAAAGCGCGCCAAAGACAAACAAACAGGCAGACGAGCGGGCGGGCCAGACGCGGGCCGCCACGCCCAGAGTCTTCTGGGAAGGACCGCGGCCCCGACCCGACAAACATGCAAAACGGGCGGCGGTGGGTAATTGCGGGACGGGGACGGGCGATTCGCACAACAACTCGCAGCGTCGTGTATTCCGCGAACCCTTTCGCACCGGCGGCCGGTTGGACCCGGACGGCAGAGAGCGATTTCCGGAGGGCCCCGGGGTTTGCGCGCGTTTTCGTCGAAGCAGATTTATTTAATTGCTCGCCGGCGTGGGCGCGTCAGGTGTTCTGGACAGGTAAGGTCCGGAGCCGCCGGGCGGGCAGGGGCGGGCCGAGCCCCCCCGGCCCCGGAGGGGTCCTCATTTCGGTCTGACCCCCACCGCACCATCACAACAGCCTCAGCTCCTCCCGGTTAGGGGCCCGTCCCGTCACAGAGCAGCGGCAGCAGCGGCCACCCCCGTGGAGATGGACACGCAGGGGTGTCCTTGTCGCGGGGCGTGCCCTGGGCGTGCACA